TCTTTCTCGGGTTTCGGCAATCAGCGCGACTCGGAGACGAGCTCTTTTTCCCCGGGGGGGGAGAGTAAGGGTTCCCCTTTACGTAAGAAGGCGACATCTAGGAGGCAGTACTGGAGGAGACCCAAACGTTCAATGTCCCAACCCAGAAACCTCTTATCTCTGACCCCATCTGGAGAACCACTGGAGAAGTCCGCAACGGAGGAGAAACATCCCCACTTCGACTCGAGCCTTTGACGAATCAACTCCTCTTAAACTCTGACCTCTGTTACTGTTGTTGGTGTGTGACTGTGAAAATAATAAGTCCAGTGTTCGTGAAGAAAGGTCTGATTCTCTCCATCACCTTATTGGGGGCTCAGCCACTAATAGCGATTTCTTTACGGAGACACGTGGACACTTCATGGTGCGAAACACTGAGAATTCTCGACAAGCGGCCGCCGCAGCACTCGAAATGGAGAACCAACGCAATCCGGAGGGTCAACCTCAGCTGGAACAGAACATCGAACCTCGACCGGAGCAGAACACTGAACCGACGCCCGATCCTTCGCCCGCCGGACCCTCGTCCCGCAGCATGATCACCTCGGCCTCATCTGCCCCGTCGCAAACCTCCAGCACTTGGGAAGCGCTCCCGCTCTCGACGCTGCAGTTCCTGGTGGATACCTATCGTCTGGGGCACCCGCTCATCTCCACCAAGGCAACGTACGCTGCCCATCTTGAGAAGTTTCAGGTACCTCTTTCCGCTCTCTTCGCCGTCCCGCAGCATGTCCAGATGTCGACGTCAGCCACCCAGCCCTTCCACGCCGCCGACGCAACGATCGCTCATCGTCTTCCTGCCCAACCGCCTCGTTGGTTTGCCGAGCCTCAGATCCCTGAGCTGCCGAAACAACAGGCCGAAGAAGAATTCGAAGATTACGCGATGCGGTTACGGAATCGCCTGGACATCGACAACGTGCACGATGGACATCGGGTGCGATGTCTCATGGACAACACCCTCGCTCACATCCAAGGTACGGCTCATCGACTTTACAAAAGGGGGATTACAGAATTCGAACCGCTGGTCGCGGCCATCGCCAGTCGACATCCGACCCCACGGTTGGATCGCCTCGACACTTTCTGACGGATGAAGCCCCGTGATGGCGAAAGCTATGTCAGTTTCGCCGAACGCCTGCGGGACCAGTACGAGACGTTTCTCCAATTCTCGGCGGAGATCTTGGACGACGTGGAACCTCTACTGCAGCAGGTCCTCATGGAGCAGTTATTCCGGAATTCCGACGGCGGCCTCAAAGACGAATTGCAGCGTAAGTGGCACAAAAACCGGACACTCACCTGGGACGAAATGGTCGACATAGCGGAAGCATACCGCTTGAATCATCGCGACAAATCTGCAGCCAACAATACCGCCCATACCTCGAAATCCGGTCCTCGACAGCGCCTCAACCTGCCCCCTCGGCAGTGGTGCGAATATCATAAACGGAACATGCGGCACGGATCCCACGAGTGCAGACTCCGACCAAACCAGTCCGCGTCAACCGGTTCCACCGACAGCGGGGCTTCCAAACCTGCCTCATCTTCTTCCGCTGCGCAGACAACCCGTTCCAGCGACTCGTCCCCCATTGTCTGCTTCCATTGTCACAAACCTGGACACATGCGTCATGAATGCCCGCAGAACCAGGGAAATGCCAAACCGGCTCAGTGAATGCGGCTCACTGCGCCACGACGACTCTCTCCGCCGCGCCTCCTCCTGTGGTTCTTCAGATCTCCATCCAGGATCGCCCGTATACAGGTTTGCTCGATACCGGGGCTTCCCACTCTTTTGTTTCTGACGCCATTGTTCGCTCTCTTAACTTGACCTGTTCCCCCTTTCATTCATCCGTCAGTACTGCTTTGGGGCCCGACCCTGTCTCCGTGACTCGCACGACGCTCATTACCTTTTGTTTTCACGGCATAGAATACCAAGCTGTTTTTCTTGTTTTACCCCGTTTTCGCGACTATGATTTTATTTTTGGTCGCACGCTGCTCGTGCACCTGCCGGTCGCCATCACCGTTGATGGTCAACGCCTTTTTACGGGATTCCGCGAAATCACGCATCCCGCTGCCACTCCGACACACGCGGTTGGCGAAGGTATTGTTTTTTCCGACGGCGCCGCCGCGGAACGCGAACGCATTCTCGAGATTCTACGCGCACACGCGCCCGTTATCCGCCAATGGTCCGGCAAACGCGGTCTTTTTCCAGATCACGTTGTGCGCATACCAACGGTTGACGCTCCACCACCGGCCACTCGCCAGTACCGGCACTCGGTCGAACGGAACGTGCCCTTCGCCGAGCTCATCGACCACTACCTGGAGGCAGGGATCCTGGAGCCAGCAGCTTCTCCCTACAATGCCCCCGCGTTTCTGGTAGACAAGAAGTGCGACGACCCCACGGCACCCATCGAGAAACGTTTTCGCCTGGTGGAGAACTATAAGGAGCTAAACAAGCTAGTCCTTGACGACAACTATCCTATGCCTGTGGTGCAGGAGCTCATCGAGGCTCTTGGTCATAAGAATCAGTATTTTTGCAGATTGGATCTACACGATGCTTACCATCATCTCCCGATCGCGCAAGAAGACCGTCCCAAGACCGCCTTTATGATGCCCAGAGGACAAGTACAATACAAGGTTCTCCCCTTCGGCCTCAAGAACGGCCCAGCGATGTTCCAGCGCACGATGAACACGATCCTGCGACCTCATCTCTACAAGAAGTGTCTGGCCTACGTCGATGACGTGCTCATCTTTGGGGAATCCTTTGAAATCCTCTGTGCTAATTTAGACGATGTCCTCCAAACTTTACAGGACGCCGGCGCCGCCATCGACCTCAAAAAATCCAACTTCCTCGCAAAGCAGACTCTCTTCTTGGGGCACATCATCGACCAGACCGGCAGCCGACCCGCGGAGCGAAACATCGATGCGGTACGCAATTACCCGAAACCCGCCACCACGCGTCAGATGCAACGGTTCTTGGGGATGGCGACCTATCTCAGGGCCCATCTCCCCACGAACTTCGCGGATTCGGAGAAAGCTCTGAGGTCAACGATCCCACGGAAACCCGACACGCGCCTGAAGTGGTCCGATGCGGCGGAGCAGGCGTTCGAAACGCTCAAACTCTGCCTTGCTAACGCCTCCAAGCTGGAGCGTATTGATCCACACCTGCCCCTGTCTGTCCATTGTGACGCTTCAGCAATCAGCCTGGGGGCTGTACTCGTTCAAACGGACGCAGACGGGAAGGATCGCATTATCGAGTATGCTAGCAGAGTACTCAGCGATACGGAAACGCGCTATACGAATACGGAACGCGAGCTCCTGGCAGTGGTATGGAGCGTTACAAAGAAGTTTAAACATCATCTTCTCCACAGGCAGTTCTCAGTGAATACCGACCACAAGGCACTCCTGGGCAACCTACAAACGGAGCGGGCTGTGAGCCTTTATACGAAACTAGCAGGGTTTAAATTCGAGCTGCTGTATCGACCGGGTCGATTCCTCCAGGGGCCTGACGCCCTTAGCCGGATCTCCCTCAACGCCGCCGAAGTCTTACCAACCCCCGACGCTCAGGATCGCGAAGCCATCATCGATGCTTATCATTTTGAACTCGCTCACGCGGGTTGGAAGAAGATTTACATCACTCTCCGCGACCGATTTCAATGGCCCGGCATGCGCCAGCAAATCTGGCAACGCGTCATCAGCTGCACCACCTGTTTCCGATTCAACCAACCGTCGCAGACCGTCGGTACTATCCTGTCACCCATCGAATCGACACACACACGGGAGCGCCTCGTCGTCGACTTCTATGGCCCTCTTCCCACTTCACCTGAAGGTTTTAAGTACGCAATAATTGCCCTTGATCATTTCAGCAAGTTCATGATCGCTAAACCGATTCCCGCCGCAAATACGGAGACTGTCGTCCCCTTCCTCACGGAAATTTGCAGGGACCTCGGGGAGTTCGAGATCATACACACCGACGCTGACTCCGTTTTCCGTAGCAAAGCTTTTCGGCATTTTTTGAAGGGTGCTCACATCAAGCAGCACGTCGCGCAGGCATTGCATCCAGAGGGCAACGGCTGTTGCGAAAGGGCAATCAGGACCCTCGGGCAAATCCAGGCCAAAGCCGTCCTCTGCGATGAAACAGCATGGGTCACACACCTTGCAGCTTCTGTCGCCGCTTACAATTCGACGCCCCACTCCATCACGGGGGTCACGCCAGCGGAAGCCATGTTTGGGACGCCGACAACACTCGCGGCCGATCGAAAAGGGGTCGAGATTCAAGTTATTTTGATGCGACGCTGACGTGTGAACTATTTTTTTATTGGTTTTTGTACGCGAACGATTTTACTGCGTGTGATAAATAAGACGTATTTCATAGAATGTCGAAGTCTGTTTTTTAAAATTTTATTTCAGTCTGTTTAAAATTCATGTTACTCCAGATTTCTTCTGGGAAAACAAAAAGCGGCATGAGCTTTCCATGGATTTAATTAACGCTGGAGCAGGACTCTTATCACAGGGCGGTTGTACCCCAGGGCGATTTCTGTCAAGTGTCATGGTTGCGTCTATTGAAGTAATGTGCCCGACGAGTTATGGAGTGCGGGATTTTCCAGCAACGGGGGAGTTGATCTCAGCGAACATTTCGTCAGTGGTCGTCGAGAAATATTTAAGAAGGCTACATCAGATTGTTTTCAGATGATAATTGTGTGACACTAGTGCTGCAAACGTTGGGGGCACTATAGAAGGCTGACCCAGTAATGGCTCAAATATCGGGGAAATTGACCTGTATCTCGCGTCTTTTGTGCTTGTGTGATAAATAAGACATTGTGAAAACATTACATTACTAAATCTGTTGACTCTGAAATCGATCTTGAGATCGTTGAAGTTCCTTTCCTCAATAACCTCCATCACAGGCTGTCTCTGTCAGTAATACAAGGATCATGTTCCAAAAACTGGTCAAGTTAATATATCGACTTGTATTGCTTTTCAGGTGAATGAAAAACATGAGTGCCTTGTCGATTGAAGTGGGAGATATTTCGGGGACGTATAACATATTTGAACATGGTGGAAGACGGTCGGATGAATCTTACGTACCCGCGGAAGGACTTGAGGGGGCCGCGTTCCAGTCGGGTTTCCCTGCGGCGGAAATGACGCAGGACGAAATGAAGGCTTTCTCTGATATTGCTACTGGAGCTGTGGAAGCTCGGAAGGTGTATTTTTATCTGCGGAACCGCGCATTACAACTGTGGTTGGAAAATCCGAAGAAGGAGCTGGTATTCGACGATTATAATGCGAAGCTCGAGCGGCCGTATGACAGTGTCGTGTCTTTGGCTTACCGAGTTCATGCCTTCTTATCACGATTCGGGTGAGTCCTCTTGCCTTTCTTTCATGGCAAATTTAACATACATATGATTTTTGCAGTTATATCAATTTCGGAGTGTTCACTCGGGTATCCCAGCGAGCAGTTCGCCCCCGTCCGGTGAAAGTACTTGTTCTTGGAGCGGGAATCTCAGGACTCGCGGGTGCATCCCAACTCCAGCAATTCGGTTTCGAAGTAGTCGTTCTAGAAGGCCGAGATCGTGTTGGTGGTCGTATCGCTACCTTCCGCAAGAACAACTACATCGCAGATTTGGGAGCCATGGTCATAACTGGCCTTGGTGGGAATCCTTTGGCTATTCTTGCTCGACAACTGAATACAGAGTTGCTCAAAATCCGACGGAAATGTCCGTTATACGAGGCTGCGACCGGGAATCCAGTATCAAAGCTTAGAGATGATTCAGTCGAGAAAGAATTCAACAAGTTGTTGGAAGCTTGTGCTTTTCTTGCTCACGCCCTAGACATTGATAGAATTGGGCGGAAGAAACTATCCCTCGGTGAATCTATGGAGTGGCTGATTATGCTTCAAGAAAAGCGCGTAAAAGAAGATCAAATCAGATACTGGGAGGAATTCAATAAATTACAGAGTAAAAAGATTGATGTCATGAAGAAGATGTATGAACACCAAGAAAATGCTGACTTGCTCAAGAAAAAGGTAGAGAAAGACTTGAAAGTGCTCAACAAGAAGCAGAAAGACCGTGGAGATAAAGTCCGTGTCACGAGACCTTCAAGTATGATAAGGTAAGTCCTCTGAAGTTGAGAGGGGAGCACCCAGACGAAAATTACTCGATTGTAAATCTGTGTCGCACTAGATCGCATTTGAATGAAAATTATGAGTTACTTTTTATTATTGGTGTTTGAGGATAATTTATTCCATTATGCTCATTTCTTCGAGGTAAATTTCATTCCCTTGTGATGATGAAGCTCTGGAGAAATTTAATGCCGCTTAGCACTTTCTTCTTAATGCTCCTTGTTGTCCGTGTACAATATATATTCCAGCTTTTTTGTTTTTGCGTTTTTACATTCTAGGAAAGTTGTTTTTGATATATTTTTGTAGACCAGAGGATTTGCCGCTGATTGCTGACATAAAGCTCAACCAGCAAGCTCGGATGAAGGCTTTACGGGAATGGAAACGTTTGCAAATGAAGAAACAAGTACTAGAAACTCGTCTAGAGCGGTTGGAGACAAATCCTCCTCCTGACGTGTATTTGTCACCAAACGACCGAAAAATTTTGGACTGGCATTTTGCAAACTTGGAATTTGCGAATGCATGTCCTCTTTCTGAACTCTCGCTGAAGCATTGGGACCAGGACGATGATTTTGAATTCATCGGAAGTCACTTGTCTGTTATCAATGGATACTCTTCTATTCCGGTGGCGCTTGCCGAGGGTCTTGATATTAGAATGAAGCAGATAGTTAACGAAGTGCGTTATGATCAACACGGCGTGAAGGTGAGTGTTGGTTCAGTGAGCTTTCAGGCGAAGAACATTTACCGTTTCAAAATTTTAATGCTACCATGCAGATTATGTATGCAGTAACTCAGTTGCAGTGCTTCTTCTGGAGTTATATTCACAGTCCTGGCTCAGGGTTTTGATCACAGCTATTGCTTGAGAATTTAACGATTTTTTTTCTCATTTTCCATTCACAGGTTACCACAATGAAAGGAGAGGAGTTCGAGGGCGATGCAATTTTGTGCACTTTACCTTTGGGGATTTTGAAAGCAGCAGTCCGACGGGGGAATGGAGAAAAAGGGAATGAAGGTGAGTGTTCTTCTTTTCTGTTTTGAAGTACAGATGTGATATTGAAGTACGAGAGGTATGTGTGATTCCAAGTGATCTGAAGGTTCTTTATGAGAAGGAGGGTTATCCTCGCTTTCGCTTCTTCTTTCCTTTCTTTCCCTTGGCGGCGATTGACCAAGTGAAATCTCTTGACTGCAAAAGCATCGGGACGTTGTGGCAAGTGTAGTACGCATTTTCCATCGCGATCGGGCTGAGGATGTCAAGTTTTCCTCTCCCTGTACGATTAGTTTTTTTTAGTGCCGGAAACCTCGAAACTCGTTTTTTAGAAATTATGAATCGTCATTTTTGCTTATTATTGACTCACGAGAAAAACTGGAGCATCTCGAGATTAGTCTTATGAAATTCTAGTTCAGGTAGTACCGTGAATCCTGAAAATTCCGAAGAGAAATGTATGAACTTGAAGGTCTATATTTTATTAGGAATCGTGAAGAGAATTTTTGTTTTGGTATCTTAGATGGGTTCCAGAAAAGGAGTGTTTCGCCTGTTGCGTGCAATTCTTTTTTCAGTTTGAAGTTCATTTAGGATAAATGGAGTGTTATATTTGTGGTAAAGAAATGATTTTCGACTCACGTTCAGCGCCGCCACTTTTCTTGTTTCCTCCAGCTCCTCCCTTGGATTTCTTCTGTTTCGGTTTTGCAGTTGGCGTTAATTTGCTAGGATCACTCCCCGAAGGTGCATCAATGACTTCCTGCTGTTGAGCTTGTTTTTTCTCTTCGAGCTTGGCTGCTTTCTCAGCGAAGCCGGGTTCTTTTTGTTGCTTCACTGCAGGAGACTGGAATCGACAAACATGTGCTTACTTTAGGGACACTGGTTCTTAAATCTCATTGTATTGGATATACTCTTTCAATTCCCCAGGTCTCATATGTTTCGTTGTATATTTTCACGTAATCGTAGCAAGATTTGACGAGAATCCGTAATACAGTATATTTCAATTGACGGACAGGAAATTGGGTTACTCACCTGATGCATGCTTGGATGGGACTGTAGTAAGTTTTAGGGATGCCTCCAACGAACTGCCTCCTTGTTTGCTGGAATTTCCACTGTGGGCTTAGAGGGTGTCATAGATTGACGTGTATATTGATCAAGCCGCGCTGCTTGATCAATATTTTTTTGAACGTTGCATTTTTTTTTTCGAACTATTTATCGTGTGATGAACTTGATGATAACCGTGCGCAATGCATCGCTATTGGCAGGGGCAAGTTGTCAGCGTATTAGTATCCCTGTTGGAGCCGTTTTCTTTTTATCCATGCTGATTTCCAACTTTTTTGCCCGTGAATTTATCTTCACTTGATAATTGTAAAGTTTTCACTCTTTCATATTTTTGTTGTTGCTCTTTGTGTATAGCTTTCGGTTATATTGTATTTTCCTGAAAAATAAGTATCAATTTTCTTTTTGATTTATATGGACGAAATTTAAATTATGCTATCTGAAAGTTTGTTAATTTGGGAGCTTCATTCGCTGAATAAGTTGGCAGTTTTTTACGCTGCTAAGTCTTTTACAACTAAATTTTGGAGACCTGGAGAAAATCTCCGTTATAATGAGATTTAGATAACTTTCTCACTGCACTGGAAGGGCCTGAGGAGAAATAGTTTCAATCTCATCTATCATTCGTTTTTACGAGATTCTTTGTAGCGATATTTCAGTGAATCTGGAAACTTGCTTGAAAAAATTTGAACGAAAAATAGTTCTAACTTCTTTTTCGTTCAAATAAAAAATATTAATGACGGCACGCCGTTATAAAATATTTAGTTCTCCTTCTCAACGCAACTATGCTTTCCTAGGCATGTCCGTGACGAGTTAAATGATAATTCAAGTTGTGCGCAAAACAAGTAAAAATCAATGCCATATCCAATTATTTCCTCACGTTGTCGGAATTTTTTCCTACGAATGTCTCGCTAACCAGTCTTTTTTTTTCTGTTGGAAATTAGGAGGAATGCGAGGCTTGGACCCGATATTCCGTCCACCTTTACCTATGTGGAAACAAGAAGCGATCGAGCGATTGGGATTTGGGGTGCTCAACAAGGTGGTGCTGTGTTTCCAACGCGTTTTCTGGGACCCCAGCGTCCACTTGTTCGGCCACGTCGGCACAACTACTGAAAGCAGAGGGGAGCTTTTCCTTTTCTTCTACTTGTACAAGGCTCCTGTGCTAGTTGCTTTGGTTGCTGGGGAAGCAGCCGGGGTCATGGAGAGTGTGAGCGATGAAATCATTATTGGAAGGTTCGTTCTTAGCTTATTCACGATTTTTTCCATTCTATTTATTTATTTATTGTAAGAATATGTCTCATCACGCCCTGCGCATTTATTTATAAGAGAACAAGGTTGTCCATACAAGTAGATGTCGTCCTTCTCGATAACTACGCCTGTCTTCACCTCATCGAGTCTTCAATAGATTCCACGTTACCTAACAAAATTACTCAAACCGAAGAAAACATTGTAAATTGCGTGAATTCTCCCAGTTTTGATGCGATCAGACGTAAATGTAGCAAATTCTGGTGAAAAGCCTAGTACATCATTTGTCGTCCCTTGTAGGCAAATTTTTTGTGATTTTTAGTTTCTACTGTCGATAGTTCATAGGACAAAGAGTGCTCAATTGCCTTGAAATCGCGTGATTATTAGAAAAAAATTGAAACCTCCGTTAGTTTGAATAAGACTAAAATTTTTCCTTTTTTCAGGTGCTTGAAGGTGTTGAAGAGCATTTTCGGTCCGGACGTCGTGCCGCACCCGACAGATACGGTTGTGACCCGTTGGAAAAGCGACCCTCTGTCCAAAGGATCTTACTCTTACGTTGGGATCGGCGCCTCGGGAGACGACTATGATCAGATGGCGGCACCCGTGGCCCCACCAGACTCTGACGGGGATTCTAAGTGCTCTAGATTATTTTTTGCCGGGGAACACACCATCCGGAATTATCCGGCTACTGTTCACGGTGCCTTGATGTCCGGCCTCCGGGAAGCTAGGATAATTGCAGATCAATTCACGGGCTCGCCGTACGTTGCTGTGGCGAAAAAGTAGGGCTTTTATTTCGAGATCGTCTTGATGAGATGTATGTGATGTTATTTTAATCCGGCATTGGTCTAGCTCGAAATGGATTAATCGAGGATTTGTCGTTTTGATGAACCAAGTTGTTCATTCACATTATTTATCTATTGATTTTCTTTAAAAAAAAATGAATGAGGGATTTTGCGCCGTTTTTATCAATGAAGGATTAATGTCGCTGTTGGGTTACAACATTAGTGTAGTACTTTATCTTTTATCTATGAAGCTAGAACCCTTCTATGTCAACTTTCTTAACTGTGACATAGTTGTCGCTTGATTCTATCGTGAGATTTGAACTGATTCATGTCGAGGTAAGTTATCGTGCACCACGATAGCTTGAGTCAAATCGGGCTGAATTTTTTATTTAAGCACATTTTTTTATGGGTGAAATTTACGAAATATTTGTTCAGCTTAGTGTTCCTGACGCCATATAACAGAAATTCTCATGAAAGTTGTGAACGTTGAAAGAACCCATTGAAGTTCGTAAGAACGTCTTAAGCTTCTCGCTCTCATGAAATAAAAACACGGAGGAACCTGTTTTAAAGGTTACGCTTGGGAGGGAGATTAAAATCTTGGATTGCCAAATCTTGTATGAAATGGGGGTATTTTGGATGTATCTCTCGCGCCTTCTGACGAGTCGAAGTGTCGACCAGTTTGCGTATGTTGTCAATAAATTTTTATAGATTTGTATCGTATTTCTCAATCATTGCGCGGAAAGTAGTTGGTAGGTGTCGCTCTTAGGGTAGGAAGATTGTTCGCAGGTCGTAGGAATGGATCTCCCTGATTACCTGGGGTTGGATTGCTGGATCAATATCCGCGTGCTTCCGGTTTCGTATTCTGTAGGATTGCAGTGCTTTACGTCGGGCTGGAGGTTCTGCAGGAGATTTCTGGTGTATTTTTTGTCAGTTTAAAATTTTTTTAAATCCGGACGAAATTTTCTAGCAAGGTTTTTTGGTGCAATTTACCGGGATGCCGAGTGTAGGCATAACCCGGACCGGGTTGATAGAAGCTAGGAAGAATCCATTGGCCCGGAGATTTGAAGTCGTAAGTTGCATGCTTGTTGAACGAGATTCCGCGAAAGTCATGGGATGATTTGTTTTTCGTGTATCTCTTCCTTCGTTAAAGTAGAAGCACAATGTTTATCTTGAATCAGTATAAAACAGTGATGAATAGCAAATTTGTCATTTCTTCCCGCGAATTTTGGGCTGGCCTGTTTGTGACGAACTGCACATTTTCTTTGAGATAAAATGAATCCCTAGTGGATTCCTCTTCCTTGTGTAAACCATCCGAAATTTTTCTTTTCATTGTTTTTGAAATTCAAAAAAGTTCACCTTCTTTAGTTGGTAATGAAATTTGAAGGAAGTATAGACCAATAATTTGGTACAGTATTTGAAGGCGCTCATTATGAAGTAAACCACAACTGCGTGAGAAAATCTGAAAGTTTTGAAGAACCAAATAAACGATCTTGGAAGACCTCAAATGTGATGGGCATTGAAACTGTATTGGATGATATAAAAAAATTTTATTGGGAAGATTTTGTTTCATTCTACTAGACTTTTCTTTCATAGTTTCGAGCGAATAAGTATGAACATTCTACATTTATTTTTTGAATGCAGAGAGATGAAGAAGTCAACTTTGGAGATATAGTGAGACGACCACCTGTGGCGTGGAAGCCGTTCGCCTTCATCAGGAGTCCCTACAGATATGGCTGCTCGATCTTGTGTAATCATCCTGTTGATCCAGAATTTCGTGGTGCACTGAGAGACAAGGAAATTTGGGTAAGACTTTTTTTTCCGCTGAAAAGCATGGAGATTTGAACAGGAAGGTCCACGTTCGGAACTATGAAATTTAAAAATCTGAGAAGTCGCCCATGCAGGCGGACAAAAGCCTTGCGATAATTTGATATACATTTTTTATTTTTTAACAACGCACATTTTTAATCGGATTTGTTTTTGAACTGGTTTCTATTTTCTCTTTTGATCCACAGTTCTCGGGATGCCGTTCGCTACTGACGAAAGAAGATTTCGACCGGATCCAGTACATGATCCACAACATCCGGACGGGTTCCCGAGGCGGATCAGGCAACACGACGCCGGGCGTTTCTCGGAGAGGTTCGCGACGGCTGAGCATGATACAGGATGACGGCGCATTAACGAGACGACCGTCGGGGATCGCACCCAGTGTGAAAATTTCCCGCCCGGGTTCCCCCGTGAGGCGGAGATGCGTCACACCTGACGCCGCCCCCAGGAACCGGGAACAGTTCATTGTGGATCTCCTGCATTTGAGGTGGACCCATTTTTAACGGTTATCAAGTGATTTGAGTTTGTTGGAAATAATTACGTCTCTTGTGATCTGGTGCAGTTAATTCTTTCAAGCGTCTTCGAAAAATTAATCGAAGAAATGTATTTTTTAGAAATTTAGTGAGCGCATTCGAGTTCTGCAAACGTTCAATTTTTTTTTTGCTCCATTTCCGCGAAAAACGAGGGACGCAAAAATAGTAAACATTATCGAAAGCCCTTTTTTATTTATGGCTTATTTCTGTGATGTAGAAGTGAAAAGATTTTAAAAGTCTTCTCAATTTAAAAGTTAGTATAATCTCGAAATCATTTCGAGTGAAATGAAGTTGGAAAATCAAAGAAAACACTTCGATATCACTCGATATAAAAATTTATGACATAGACAAAAAGTAACGAAGTTTGACCTACAAAAAGAGAACGCTAATTAGCAACCAAACAGGCAGTTACTGCTAAAGTATTTAACTATGAAGTAATATTAAAAAACGAGTTTAAGAAAATGAATTAATGCACATTACAGTGAAGTATCGTTGTAATAACGAATGTTGAGACTAGATAAAATGCTTCGATAAAAATATCAATTCGTTTTAAAATGATTTGAATATTATATTGTCGCTATTGGGCAGCGCAGGGACCTGATGAAAGATGCCTGCGTTGTACCTTATACAGTATTTCGTTATATCGAGATTTCGTTGTAGTATTGAGATTATTCTGCTGAATCAGCTTTTCAATTCTTTGTTTCAATTTACCACTTTTCAAGTACAGTATTATGAGTTGTCGATCTGCTTGCTTCTGGAAAATTCCTCTTGATTCTAATTTTCTTTTGGTAACCTAGAATCCTAGATGTCGCATCAATGTATGGGATTCCAACGTGATAAAGATGAATGCAGTTGGTTTTCAGTCCTTTTTTATTTGTTTTCGGAATTCGTATGAGACTGACAAGATTTCATAAGATTTTTTTATCTATCCTTTTTTTCATCGTAAACAAAATTCTAGTGTTATACAGTACTTATTTTGTTATTTCCTACTTAAGATGTCTAGAGTATTCCAGTCTACTGTATAAGGTTTATTCGCTGACGAAATGGTCTAATTTTGAGATGAATGGATATTTCATTTTACATACTTTTTTGATATTTTTTTTCCAAAGTTTTGATGCGCAATGCGGTATTCAGTGATTTTATGAACTCCATTGTTTTAATTGATGGCCTAGTTTTTGACTCGGTTCTATTCTTCAGGATTGTGGATCATCCCGAATCCCCCTTCCACTGAGCTTTAAATCTTACTGCTTGGTTTCCTGTGTTCATTGCCGTTGAGATGCCGTTTTTGTTTGTGTGCAGACGAACGAAGAGTTTCGACGCCTTGAGCTCAGCGACCCACGCAACGACAGACAGAGACGTTTGGGACGGTGCAACGGAACGAAGCGTGTTCAGCGACTTGGAAGACTGTTTCCGAATCGACGTCGCTTGCGTGACGGACGCCGGTGCGGACGTTGGGAGACGTCGCGTCGTGGCTAGGTTGTTTCACGGTCGGCGCCGGTCCTCGTCTGCCGAGTCGGTCGATGCCGTGTCGTCGATAGGGACGTCATCCGTGGTGGGACACGACGTGACTGCGAGGCCCCGTCCCTCATCTGCGCGACCGCAGGTGNTTATCGAAAGCCCTTTTTTATTTATGGCTTATTTCTGTGATGTAGAAGTGAAAAGATTTTAAAAGTCTTCACAATTTAAAGGTTAGTATAATCTCGAAATCATTTCGAGTGAAATGAAGTTGGAAAATCAAAGAAAACACTTCGATATCACTCGATATTTTTTAAATACTGTATCTGTTTTTCATTGCTTCAAACTGGATGTTTTTCTCTTGCGATTAATCGTTGGTTTGTCCGTCAATGACGATTTCATAAATTGATACTTCATTATAATTTTTTGCTCAAATTCAAAATGAATTATTGCACATTACAGTGAAGTATCGTTGCAATAACGAATGTTGAGACTAGATAAAATGCTTCGATAAAAAAATCAATTCGTTTTAAAATGATTAGAATATTATTGTCGCTTTTGGGCAGCGCAGGATCTGATGAAAGATGCCTTCGTTGTACCTTATACAGTATTTCGTTATATCGAGATTCGTTTTAGTATGGAGATTATTCTGCTGAATCAGCTTTTCAATTCTTTGTTTCAATTTACCACTTTTCAAGTACAGTATTATGAGTTGTCGATCTGCTTGCTTCTGGAAAATTCCTCTTACCATTAGTTGAGATTCTAATTTTCTTTTGGTTACCTAGAATCCTAGATGTCGCATCAATGTATGGGTTTCCAACGTGATAAAGATGAATGCAGTTGGTTTTCAGTCCTTTTTTATTTGTTTTCGGAATTCGTATGAGACTGACAAGATTTCATAAGATTTTTTTATTTATCCTTTTTTTCATCGTGAACAAAATTCTAGTGTTATACTTATTTTGTTATTTCATACTTTAGATGTCTGGAGTATTCCAGTCTACTGTAAAAGGTTTATTCGCTGACGAAATGGTCTAATTTTGAGATGAATGGATATTTCATATTACATAATTTTTTGATATTTTTTTTCCAAAGTTTTGATGCGCAATGCGGTATTCAGTGATTTTATGAACTCCATTGTTTTAATTGATGGCCTAGTTTTTGACTCGGTTCTAGTCTTCTGGATTGTGGATCATCCCGAATCCCCCTTCCACTGAGCTTTAAATTTTTCTGCTCGGTTTTCTTTGTTCATTGCCGTTGAGATGCCGTTTTTGTTTGTGTGCAGACGAACGAAGAGTTTCGACGCCTTGAGCTCAGCGACCCACGCAACGACAGACAGAGACGTTTGGGACGGTGCAACGGAACGAAGCGTGTTCAGCGACTTGGAAGACTGTTTCCGAATCGACGTCGCTTGCGTGACGGACGCCGGTGCGGACGTTGGGAGACGTCGCGTCGTGGCTAGGTTGTTTCACGGTCGGCGCCGGTCCTCGTCTGCCGAGTCGGTCGATGCCGTGTCGTCGATAGGGACGTCATCCGTGGTGGGACACGACGTGACTGCGAGGCCCCGTCCCTCATCTGCGCGACCGCAGGTGGGTCATTTCTTTTATGTAAAGAAAGATTATTTCAGTGGAACGTTTCCATAGATGTCACTACAGTGCAGTTTTCCATTTTTGAACTGGTTTCGTCGTAAGTTGCTCCTTCGTCTGGGTTCTTGTTCAATCTGAGCCGAGAAACGTGTTGTTATGGTTTCGTGCTTTTTTTCAACTTATTAACTCCTGGGTTCTGTCGGAAAATTGAAAAAATATTCTGGAAACGCATAAAAAGGACTTTCTGCTGCAGTTAATTCGGAAATCGTAATTTTCTTGAAAACTTTTTCTGGTTTTAACGGCATCTTCTGCTTTCATAATTTGAATTATTACAGCAGATGTAAATACTGTACTTTTATACTGTACTTGGTATTGAACAAAATACTTTTCAATAAATCTTTTCATAAATTATTTAAATTGAGATTTCTATGTATACTGTATTACGAATCAAAACTAAGTGGTTCTGGAGACATTTTTTTGGTTATTTAGTTCTTCCGAATAAATATTGTCCCCTTTGAGTACTTCTTAAGTGCGAGTTATCTTTTGTAAGATAGTTATTGTTAAACTTCAGCCATTTTTTTTAAACGCTTGAAAGGCGAACTTCGACGTATACCTTGTCTATAGAATCTTGACAAAAATAATCTCTGATTTACCTGCTGCAAATGGTTGAGCGAAAGGAACGGAATCTTTCATATCCCGTTGATTCAATTATTGGATCAACGAACTCGCGCTCATTACTTTGTACAATATTCCTTTTCATCGTCATCTTTTAGCTGTTCTACGAGACTATTTCAATGGTTTCGTGCTTTTTTTCAACTTATTAACTCCTGGGTTCTGTCGGAAAATTGAAAAAATATTCTGGAAACGCATAAAAAGGACTTTCTGCTGCAGTTAATTCGGAAATCGTAATTTTCTTGAAAAATTTTTCTGGTTTTAACGGCATCTTCTGCTTTTATAATTTGAATTATTACAGCAGATGTAAATACTGTACTTTTATACTGTACTTGGTATTGAACAAAATACTTTTCAATAAATCTTTTCAGAAATTATTTAAATTGAGATTTCTATGTATACTGTATTACGAATCAAAATTAAGTGGTTCTGGAGACATTTTTTTGGTTATTTAGTTCTTCCGAATAAATATTGTCCCCTTTGAGTACTTCTTGAGTGCGAGTTATTTTTTGTAAGATAGTTATTGTTGAACTTCAGCCATCTTTTTTAAACGCTTGAAAGGCGAACTTCGACGTATACCTTGTCTATAGAATCTTGACAAAAATAATCTCTGATTTACCTGCTGCAAATGTTTGAGCGAAAGGAACGGAATCTTTCATATCCCGTTGATTCAATTATTGGATCAACGAACTCGCGCTCATTACTTTGTACAATATTCCTTTTCATCGTCATCTTTTAGCTGTTCTACGAGACTATTTCGATCGAGAAATTATTTCTGTAGAGTAAAGAAAAAATGTCATGTCACTTTGATGAGTGACGTATTGATCAAGCCGTGATCAACTTTGGACCACTTTGCGGCAATTATGGTCCACATTGTGTCTCTCGTGTTCTGCTTCTTCAAGTTGCAGCAGTGCTTCGCGGTCCACTGAGTCTTAACTTGTTTCAGACTGAGCATGTCAGTGTGCTACATTTTTTTCCTTGCTCATATATGTATTTTTTTTACTAAGAGTCATAAAAAGAGGTGAATTTAGATATATATTTTGAGTGAAAGACGTTGCCTTCCCTTTCCGCAGCTATTTTGACCAACGTCCAGAAATGAAGTTCAATTCAACGTAATTGCCGTTGAAGTCCTAATGGAACATTTTAAAATCATTAATGCGCATTTTATTTGAATTTGTATTTATTTTTGCGTTTTCACGAATATTTTACTCATTCTAAAAAATCAAAAGGTCAATTTTCAGTCATACAATAAATTACGGCAGTCCGAAGAAATCTGTTGGGGGATCACCAAAAATTATTTCAAGAATTATACAATTAATTGTAAAATAATCCCATGATGTGTTAACTTCTGAGTTGTTTTTCTCGATAATAACAAGTCACAATCATTGATAGAGTCTTGTTGCAACGAATTTTTTTTAGGTCCCTGTCCAATAGTCTAAATTTTATTTTAATTTTAGTATGATTATTTTCCTAGTCCCAACGGCTTCGTTGTAATAACATTTTACCGTGCAAAAAATGTAATTTTGAAAATTTTAATTTTAAATTATATTTCGCAACATTCACCCTGTAATTTGAACCATAACCTATCCCTGATTCGGCTTTTTCCAGAGGTATTTTGCATAATGTTGACAATTAAATTATGCAATCTACAGTAGACGAAAACTGGGGAATAGAGTTGAAATTCGGGGTTCCTTCTTCCGTGTTTTTCGAGTACTGTACTTTTCACAAAACGTTTTCACGAACGTCATGATCTTTTCTGTTTGTATGCGATGGAACGTATCGGGAGATAAAACAAATATTGCCGTATTCTTTTTTATTCGAAAAAAGCAACAGAATTTTCCCTAATTTTTGGAAATCTGTGTTGAAACAAATTTCGAAATATTGTCGCAAGAATGAGTGCGTTCCATCCCGCGGAGGAGCCCAAGAAGCGCAAGAAAAAGAAGCTCAAGAAATTTACTAATCCGGAGGAAACCCCTTCCTCGAAACCGGATCGGAAAGCTCCTTCGAAAATCGTCAAAACACTCGGAGTACCGAAGCGATCCAAGGCCAAAAATGCGGAGACATCATCATCAGCTGCTGTTGATTCGCGTCCGAAAGAACCAGAAGAACCGGAATCCGTGTCAAGCAAAACCGTCATGGATACCCCCAAACCCGATCAGCCGCATCTACAGTCGCCCATCAGGCGTAGGAGCCGCATGAGGAGAAACGCATCGTCCACCACGTCAACCTCCGACGAAGAATACAAGTCCATGGTGAAATCCGGTCTCATCGTCAAACCCAAGAAGCAATCTCTCGTCGAGCCCCAAGACTTCAAGCCGAAAACCGAGGCCGAACTGCTCGACTACTTCCTCGCTAAACACAGTGTTACTGATTTTATTCCAGGAGCCAGGAAGACTTCGCAACCGAAGCTCCAGCAAACTTCCGAAGCCCCGCTCACGAAACGACAAGTTTTCCGTCAACATTTCGGCTCCCAACCTAATAAGGGTCAAGACCTGAAACCCAGTGACTTTTTTCCATTGAACCTCAATCTTGAAGATCTGCGAGTGTCCGAAAAGAAACTTCGAAAGAAGAATAAGAAGAAGCGAAAAAAGAAGTTGAAGCTCAAGAAAACGACCCAGAATGACCCGAAACCTTCCGGTCGTAAGAAAAAATCCTCCGAAAATCCCAAGTCGAAGACGCGCAAGAAGAAACTCGGGAAGCTCGTTAGAAAAATCAAGGAAACTGAAGAAATAGTGGATCTACTGCATGACGTGACTGCCATATGTACAGAGACGAAAAACCCCAAAACACCCAAGAAAAGCAAGAAGAATAAGAAGAGACTGAAGAACAAGAAGAAGCCACCTGTTCCCAGTGCTCTCTTGAAACTGATGGAATCTGTTCCGGAATTCGATCCACATGCGACCGAGGTTTTCGACGAGAGTCCCGCGATTGAAATTGCTTCTTTGACCGAACAACCAGAGACGAAAAAGTTACCATCCAGAAATACCAAGACCAAAAAGCCCGTGATGGTTCCTCGTGGTATCAAAGTCTACAGAACAAAGCAGAAAAGGGTTCCATTATTGTCGCAGAAGCCGGCTAGTCGACCTCTGAAGGAAAGTTTCAGCAAGATTTGGGTCGAGTTGTCGGGACCTGATCCGAGGATGGTGGACTTTACCGAGGACCTGAATGCTAGGATTATGAAAACTCTTCCCGGGTGCAATCTCAGTTTGAACCATTTCTTCCCTCCTCAAGAACTTCAATACGGCACTTATTCTTCAGTCATTGTCTCTGGAAATGATGTGCTTGCAGCGGAAGATAGAGTTATTCCCGGCTGTCACGTTTTTCCGCTTGAGGTTGAATGAGAATTATTGAATTATTTGACGTTGACACTTTCCTTTTTCACGAAATAAAATTTGTGTTTTGAATTGTATGTTTTCAGGTGCCCGGAACGAGACCACGACCGCAAAAGCAGAGTCAATTGCAAGTCAGCAATGCTCCTGCTCAGCATGTGCCGACGCCGGATGCTGCCATGGCTTTGGTGAGTTGAAATATGCTTTTTTTCTTGACGTTTTATGCTTTCTTCTGATGATGGTGTTACGTACATTGTATTACCCGTGTTCTACTCGAGCGCCACGCGCTTTTTTTTTTTTTTGAATTTGGAGAAGGAAAACGGGGGAGCGCGTCCTAAACGGTTATATATTTGTAAAAGTTTTAAAATTTTAGGTGTGTCTTACGTTTGATTCTAATGGAAAGTTTAGGACAAATTCCAATAGGAAAACTTACTTTAATGGAAATGACTGAAAATTTGTTGAATTCAGGATCAGATCATGTCCAAGTCTAAATTGGGTGTAACTATTTTGAAAATTTGTAGCCACTAAAAATGGAAAGCGCGTCATTGTTGGGAATATAATTTTTTTAAAAATTGGACTGAGAACCACTGGTGCAAGTCATTATCAAGGGCTCATCTAACTCGAGTAAATACGATACTGTATATGCATATATTATTTAAACTTAATCATTTGATTTAGTTGCATTTTAGGATGCAGAAATCAAAAAGGAGACTGGAAACATTTTTGTCAAATATTTAACGTACGAGTATTCTGTGCATTGGTATTGCTTTACTGGATGAAAGTCGGATTTTCTTCTGCTCGAATTTTCTGGAGACTGCTCGACGTTTTTTTTTATGCTGAAAAATTCAAGATCTCCGTACTTTATTATTAAATCTATTCTGAGAATATTTTACATTTTTAAATCGTGGGACGATTCTAAAAATCAATTTTCTTTCATAGAGAACTTCAGAGAAATTTCAAATTTTCCTGTTTCATGCTTTGTTAATTTTTGAACAAGCTTGAAATTTTTATTTTTGTTTGCAAATTTAAAGTACTGTAATTCTATAATTATTTTCAATGGTTGTTCTCGTAAGACTAGATGACCCAAGAATAATGCCTTTCAATAATGATTATTATTTATTATTGACTTTTCAGTCTTGGGCGAATGCGGAGAAGAAGCGACTCAAACTCAAAGGAAGGAAACGTCGCTCAACTTCGCCTGAGAAGGAATTCAAAGAAGCTACCACTGAAGCTGAAACTCAGGTCAGCCCAACACTAGTGTTCAATATGAAGATATATTCCCTAAAGTCTGTTTCGTGGTTTGTTTTGGTTTTTTTCAACAGTTGAAAACGTTGGAAGTGACAACTAGTATACAGGAAGTGCCTGAGACCCCACCAAAACCAGTTCCCTCTAAAACGGAACCTGCGCCAGCTGGAAAGCATGTTACTTTTCAAGGAAGCTTTGACATAGACGAATGTCTACTTCAGCAAACGCAGAGCCAGATACCACAGAAGGCGTCTCCCACGGATGAGGATTTCGACTATGATGTAAGTATGCATTAGAAAGATGATTCTGTTCATGTTTTGAATGTGTTCCTGTACTTAGTCAATGTTGAGAAAAGTCTCCCACTTCATTTACCACATATCCTCATGTAAGATACGCATCTTTTTTTTTCAGAGAAAAAAAATCAATCCCTGCGTGATATATTCCTCCCTCAACGCTCTTGTTTTCATTGATACGGAAATCTTTTTAATATGCGTATAAAATAAAAGTTGAGGTAAAACTTGGACGAATAAAATTTCACAAGAATCGCAATCGATTTGCTTTTGTTTCACGGTTTCACCTGTAAATAGTTCCATTTGAGCCTGAATACTGTATTTACATTTTTTAATGTCACTTAATGAAAGAGTCAAAAAGTGAAAGGTTCGCAGAAAATGTACGTTCTAAAGCTAAAGCTTCATAATTGAGGGAAAAGGTCTCACAGCAATATAAAATACGGATTTCCACATTTTCTCTCTAAATTATTTGGTCCATCTTTGGACTGGAAAATCACTAAGTACAGTACTAACAGATTCCGGGTGATATATTCGCAGACGTTGAGGAGCTTGCAAGCCCAGCTGAAAGAGGGAATCAGGATCATCCTCACGAAGGGAGCAGTGGCAGACATTCACGTGCAGCTGGAAGCATTACGGAAAGAGCTGGCGAGGAAGAAAGGCGGCGATCCACCAGATTCCCTGGGATTGCCGAGGGTTTACGATAAGTCCTTGGTGCGTTACGAACTGCCGATGGACATCAAACTTTTGGAAGGTACGTCGGTCAGTCAGCAGAAAGAATTTGGGATTAGAATTTCAATATTATTCAATTCCAATTTTTTATTGTTACTTTTCCCCTCTGTCAAATGATGAAGTACGGTACTGAATATCACCGATTAAAATAAAAATTGGACATTCTATAAATTGATGAATTTGAGAAGTCGAATCATCGAATGAAGAATTTTTGATTCCAATTCCAGGCATAACGCCCTTGATGTATTTGGAAACGTACTCGTTCGTTGGTGAAAGTCTGAAAAATCTGCACGCGAAAGTCTACAAGCGTCACCGAGATCTTCAGCCAACCGGGAAATTTTCCTTCAGGGTAAGAAAATAAACCGTACTTCCGGGAATGTACGAACATTAATTTAATCAACTGATTTTTTTTTATTGGTGCAGGCTCTGACAGTTGCCATGCAAGAAATTGTGAGCCAAGACTGGTCGCCAGATGACTCGGAAGCTGTGTGCCGAATGCTGGGTGTTACCTTGCCAAAGCCAGGGCAGAAATCGGATCTTTTGACGTTGGCGAATATCCCGGGAAGTGGAGGTGCGACACCCGCTGGAACAGCTTCGGAAATTTCAAAGCTTTCCTCGCCATCGCAGCAATCGGGACTGAAGGTGAATGTACTGTACTACATTTTCTGCTACTGTGTGGAACAAAATCTTAGAAGCTTTCCTAGTAACTGTACCACATTTATTCGAATAAAAAACGAAATTTTCAAGTGACTTCATCTTATAAATTTGTTGATACTTATCAAGCTGGATACTGCATTTGAGAATATTTTCCTTTTGTTCTTTCCTTTGATTTACGTTTGGAAAATGCTGTAAGTGTGATCTTGCGTACTACAACTAATTTGCAGAGTAATGGTGCAATTACTCTCCCTGACTCCTAAAAATAGCTAAGAAAGGAAGTGCTCCAAAAAGATGGTTAGTTGGTCATCTAAGGGAAGTACTGAATGTAAAATATCGAAATATTTTAACTCAAAATATATATACAGTACATATAGAGATATATTTATTGTCTAAAAACATGCTTTCTTGGAATGTGGTAACCAATTCAACTTCGTATTAGGAAAAAGCAGATGTACAAAACTGAGGATATTATTCCATGAATATTACTAAAGCTATGATCTCTCCAATAATTGCAGGAGCCGAGTAAAACAGCGAGTAGTCGTCAGTCTTCGTCATCGTCCATCGGTCATCAATCTCAACCATCTCCTCCGGCGTCACCCGGACCAGACTCGGGCCCTTCCAAGCTGATCGACCTTCTCAACATTGGGAAGAAGCGGGATTGGAGGACCAAGCTGGGAGTTGGAGCTGTACCCGACATTGCTGCGTTCAAGGCTTCCAAATTGCCAGTTGAAACGCCGCAAGTTTCTAATACGCTAGACTTGCATCAATTCCAAGTTGTGGCTGCTTTTGGTGAGCGTTGTTTTTGCGAGAAATATTCCAAGACGACTGTTAGTTCCATCAAAGAGAAAGATTTTGTGGAAATCGCTGATTTTGAACGGTTGCAGGAAAGATTGAGTAGAATAGAAATTTCTGAAGACCTTCGCAACCTGCTAATAATAATAAAAAATTCTTAAAGTAATTTAACGTGTAACTCTTAAAATTCTAGAAAGTTTCTCTCAACTTTGGATAACCTTATAATGTTTTAAACGAGGCAAATTAAATGTAAAAAAAAGCAGTAATTTTGATATAAAGTAAAATTTGTCCAGAACTAATAAATTTGCCTGTTCTGGGGCGGGGTGGGAGGGAAACAGTGAGCCAAACAAGTAGTGCCGGATGTTGGACGCCATTTTCATGGCTGCTTTTCCGTGCTAAATTGTGCCAGATCATTGGGTCCACCATCCTCTTGGGTGGGCTACAGGGCAAGAGAGGCAATTTATTTAACGCTTGGGTCATAATATAATGTTGAATTTGATGAAGGAGGATGGTGGACTTCAGTCTGGCACAATTTGGCACGTTCCAACATTCGGCTCTACTTGTTTGGCTNCATTTATTTAACGTTCGGGTCATAATATAATGTTGAATTTGATGAAGGAGGATGGTGGACTTCAGTCTGGCACAATTTGGCACGTTCCAACATTCGGCTCTACTTGTTTGGCTCACTGGAAAAGAGATGACAGATTTTTTACTGCACTTATACTATTTCACTGAATAAATAATAATTTATTATTAGAAATTTCTTCTAATCCTACTACCTATATATTCTATATATTCTACTACCTCTATATTACAAGACCTTAAGTCTTGAACATGAGATTTTGAACATTTCATTTTATTGTTTCGAATTTCTACAATATAAAAATTGAACACCATGACACGACGATGATATCATTGATTTGTCCCATCTGTCAGTGACCTGGAACGATACATTTACGAGTTATTATGCAATGCAAAAATGGTGAAATACATACCATCACTGTGCTCAAGAAACTCGAATTTGCTTTTCTTCCATCGACGAGTTGATGGTAAACAACCGTCCATTCCATCCAAGGTCTCTGCCGATCCGGCACCACCTTCATCAGCGCACTCATCGTCCGGACAGAATCCACACTGACCGGGTAACCTGAAATGTAGATCACGCAACGTTTAATGAATTTTCCTGGAGTCTCCTTTTTTCCAGTGAGCCAAACAAGTAGAGCCGAATGTTGGAACGTGCCAAATTGTGCCAGACTGAAGTCCACCATCCTCCTTCATCAAATTCAACATTATATTATGACCCAAGCGTTAAATAAATTACCTCTCTTGCCCTGTAGCCCACCCAAGAGGATGGTGGACCCAATGATCTGGCAGAATTTAGCACGGAAAAGCAGCCATGAAAATGGCGTCCAACATCCGGCACTACTTGTTTGGCTCACTGTTTCCCACCCACCCCGCCCCAAAACAAGCCAATTTATTAGTTCTGGAACAAATTTTATATTATTATTACTGTTTTTTTTCAATTTTCAAAATTAATTTACTGCACTTCGTTTAAAACATTATTCAAAGTTGAGAGACGTTAGCCAATTAATCCAGCGAACATTAAATTCACAACTCGGTTCCAATTCAACTCACATCGATCGGCATGAGCTTATGCATTTGCATAAAGCTATCGCCAAGATGGCAGCACTTGTGATGCCGAAGACGAGTCCCGTTATGTAAGCAGGTTCAGTCACTGGTTCCTCTCGATTGCCACGAATTCCCCCTCTCATCAACCGTTCACTCACTGAAACGCAAAATAAAATTTCAACATTTTCAAGTACTAGTACTAAATTAACCTTAATGTGAAATATACTTACATGCAAAAGCTCTGGATCCCGAATTAGTCCTTGGTTTGTCGTGCGATGGGGTGTTTTGTCCCTTCTGTTGTTGCTTGTACATCTCATTGAATGGGAACCCCGTGTCTCCCATGCTTCTGATGACTATAAAGAGGAAACGATACGATGGGAAATTAGTTCCAGTGACATGCGGAGAAAAAAGTGTAAGCGAGACTTACCCCCTTCGCCCGCGAAGTTCCTCCTATCGTTCCCGTGGAAAATGTTCAGCGCCACCTTCCCGTTCTTGACCATGCCCTGCGGTACTTCGTAGTTGAACGACTGGACTCCGCTGCTTTCCAGTTCGTCTGGCCCGGGTTCCCCGATGCATTCATCCCCAACACAGTTGCGCTGATCGTTCTGCTGCTGCTGCTGTTCCGTAGACTCAACGTCGTCCTTCCAATTGGAAATGAGGTTCTCGTTGACGCGTCGAATCCCATTGTGCTGAGGTACGATGGCGGGTCGCTCAATTTGCTCCGGGTTCTTCACTCCTCCATAATGGTTGCGAGGGAAAGGGAAATCCGCTTCCTCTGCAAAGATAAGAATAAAAAATCTGAATGACAAGCTTCTGAGGTCCTAAATTTGATGTCCTCTTATAATAAGGTGCAAGCCCAGTAATTAAAGATCAAGAACAATATTAAAGTTAATTAAAGATCAAGTGCTTTGAAAAATATATGTTTTGAAAAACATCCTACATCAAAATTAACGTCTTTCTGGTTTACAACAAATACTGACATGTCTTGAAGAAGATAAAATCCCAAAACAAAATTAAAAATACCCAATTTTGATGGTCAAACACATGCCTGAAAGGACACAACGACCCATGACTGGATTCCAAACCCCTTCCCGGCTGCCAATGGGAACATAGCAAGAAGTTCTCACAGCAACCCCGTTTTCATAGGCGAACCCGGGTTCACAAATATATTCTGCCTGCGCTCCAAACGGGTACACTGGTTTTGGTGGAGTCGAAAGTCTCGCGTGGTTCACTAGAGGTGGCGCTCCAACACATTTCCCTCCAATATTGCCTTCATTATCTGTTACAACGCATTGATATTTTTCATGGGATTCTCTTCTACCAGCTTTCGCTGCTAAAATGTATTTCTCCTCGATAGTTATGGTACAGTACAAGGAAAAAATTTTAATTTTAAATTAAACTTTTCTCAATTTTCCTATCCAGTCACTCAAAATTCGAACCCATTTAACCCCAGTTCCACACCAGCTACGAGCTATCCCAGGACATTCTCCGTCCTATTTTTAAACCACTGGTTCTGGCTCAGTGGAGACAAGAATCGGTAACTTGATGCTAATTCTCTGAATTCTATCGATTATATCCCCTTCAAGACAGTGCAATGTTTGTGAACAACGCGTCACTTACGAGGAAAAACAGCTGCTAAATATAGTACAGGTAAAAAAAAAAAAAAACGCGTGCGTGAATGAATTTACAGCATAAATAAATTCAACAATACATAAGAAAAGAAGTCCAAATTTGGATGATAAACCAACTATTCATCTTCCATGGTCAACTGATGCAAAACAGTTTGGAAACAACGCGTATTTTTGGAATTAGACAAATTCGGACAGGAATACAATGACACGCATCATGTGAACTTCTACAATTTAGAAAAATACCATGACACACTCAATTTTTCTATATTAATTACTAGAAGTGGATTGTGAAGACACAATGAGAAGAAATGACAATGCACGCCCTGTTTTACCAAAAAATGAATAGCTTTCCGTCGTAAAGAGTACTGTACAATGAAATTTTCTACAGTATAAACTGTACATACATAAGCCCTACCAACTCTTCCCTAAATAACATGGTGAATTTTGAGAGATGATCATAAACTCACTCGCAACTGAATCAAAGTCGATGACATCACGTGGAGGAACAACACCAGGGTCCTTAAACAAGGTCTTCAAGGCAATTTCAGCCAAACTCGGAGGTTTCCTACAGGACTTCGGCGGAGGCGGCGGGTCGTCCAAAAATGCACACATTCTTTGCTTCGTGTTTAGGGGCCCAGCCGGTCTGCTGTACCGCCACGGGGGATTCGGGAATGGCGGGGGTTGCAGAAAGATGGTCTTGGATACCACCACCCGGTCTTCTTCGGGGTTCGCGTCGGACAATTGTCGGGACTCTTCTGCTTTCTTACTTTCATCACCTGCAAAAAAAAAGAGAATTTGAATGAAATATTTTTATTAAAAAATAAAAATTAATTTTATAACTAATTTAGAAGCAACATCTGACTAGGAACTTTCAATCTAGAGCAGTCATGAAATTTTGAACATCAATCAAATTCACGTAACTGAAACCTCCATCAACAATCTACTGCATGTTATTTGATTTTTGACATCTCTCGAACAATGCAGAAAACTAGGCAGTTGGAAAGCTCAAGCATCCGAATTAGTAGCTCAGTTTCAAGACCATAAATACAGCTGTGGTACTACTGCTGAAAATAAACTCTGTCCTCTAAAACGCAATACAGTAACTCTAACGCATGCTTCATGGCAATCAATTGTTGCAGTATACATGTGGGCTCTTCCTACAATGAAATTCAAGGGACCAGAAAAACATTTCTTGTAGAGAGAATTTTGTTTCAAAGAACCTCTAACATGGGGAGAGAATCCTAAGAGACCAAAAAAAGGTGTATAATGTACTGAGAAAATTGTTGAAGACAAGATTGTTGCAGAGAGAGTCAACCTGTATTACATTGACAAACACAACTGCGAACAAGTTCATCAAAAATAATTCAGTAAGACTCCATTCAGTACAGCTCCACGTGACATGCGTACCAAGACTTGAAAATATTTCATACAAAGTGGAGTACAGCATTGAACAGTTGAGCTATTGAAGGTGCTGAAATCTCAAGTACTGTACCCTACTTCAATGCGCGTTATATTGAAGTTGCATTTAACTTGACTCACTAGCAAGAAGATTTAAAGGCCAAGGAAGCGAAGCAATCCTAGATGGCTTGGCATCCAAAACCCCCGGTGCGGGTTCCGCAAAAGAAACTCGGGTGGGAGGATTGTACGTTTCAGCATCAGGGAATGGAGGCACACTGATTTCCTTTTCCACCATTACATAGCCTGGGCGTTGTTCTCTCGACATCCGCCAACCTTGCAATTTCTTATTCTCTATTTAAAAAAAGGGTTTTTTTAATATTTATTTTCCAACTATAAACCTGCCCACAAAGATAGGATATCTCATAACAGAACAGAAAAGAGGAGCTACATAATTTTAATACAGAATCCCCGAGGAAAAATTCACTAGAACAATTCTGACGGTAAGCTTTAGACCCAGTAAGCTTTAGAACACACAACTAGTTGACCAGAGGCATTGGCATTCTGGGCAAAATTGAAATAATACCCTAATACTGTGTATCATAAAATGCTCGTGGAAAATATCCCCAGGAATTTCCGCGCACTTGATCGGGACGACTTTACTCAGTGCACGAATCATGATCATCAATCATTCGAAATTCAAAGGCGAGCGAAAAATGTCCCGAATCCGAAGGATGAGATGAAATTTGCATTTGATATTCACTCAAAATCGACTACATTAGTTATCATTGAATTTAAAATTCCAAGAAAAACGATTGCAGTTACATTACAGATTGATTATTTGGAAATAAAAGAAGAAAAAAAATTTCACTGGTTCACTCGGAATTTCATTCGGCACAATTCGTATGAATCAGACTCACCATGCGCGTCCCGTTCGGCATCTTCAGGAAATTCGACGTCAAAATCGTCCGTGCAACGCCCTTCAACGGATGTCCACCGGGCTTGTCCGTCATCATACACACACATGGTTTGCATCGGGGTATTGGAGACCTCGGTCTTCCCGGAGGCGCAGAAATATTTGATCACGGAGCCGATCGAGTATCTTGTCTGCGGGGGTCGACTCATGCGAGTGAACGGGATCACAGGTGCGGGACCACACCCATAGGCGTATCCTGCAAATCAGAAGATTACCATTTCAGCTACGACTGCATCACAGCATTCTACTCAAAATTCAGTTGTACATCTTACACAGTTTGAAAAAAAAATCAAAAATCCAGAATATTCTATGCTTAACTCATATACTTCCGAGGACATCGTCTGGAAAGTGATCCGGCAACGAGGAGAGCAATAATTCCGCAAAATTGAAAGTTTCTCTATTCTTGAAGGTAATTACGGTATCTGTAACGCTGTAAGCAATCGGGATGAACTATTACACCAGTCAAAATTTAGTCGAACATCTTACGGAGTCGTAAAACAATTCTAGAATATTCCGGACCACGACAGATTGAAATAATGTACTCTTTTACCGTAAGTAACCTTTTGTAGCACCATAAGCAATGAGTTTGAGCTATGATTTGAATTGAAATTCAGCTGCATATCTTATTTAGTTGTAGAAATATTTTCAAATATTCCGGGAAAAAGTTTATATACAAGCGGACATTCTCTGAACAGGTTTTTCGGCAATAATAAGTCCAAATGAAAACGACGTTTTCCACGACACATGAACAAATGTGGGATTCAAACTCACTCGAAAGTACAGGATCAGGTTTTGGGCGGAAAGGTGACCAACCCGGATAATCCAGTCCAAATCCCTGCAAATTTTGTGGCGCTGATTGAGGTAGATATTGCGGCGGTGTTTCGCCAGGTGGAAGATACACATTCGGTCTCAACTGAATTCTCAACTTTCGAGTTCTTTCGTTGGGCGCGGAAGGAGCATAATGCGGACCAGTCGGAATATTCCATGTCGGACCATTATCTGAAATTTTCAGAACACATCGAAGAAGTTGCATTCTATATTTCACGAGGAAAAAGACACGAAAATAACAATTGCTCCAGTACTAAAGCGACATCTACCAAAACCTTAAATCATTACTGGGAAACCACTTGAAAATTCTTACCTCTGATGTCACTCTGGACACGAGACGGCTCTCTAAATCTGGCAAAAGCCGTGACTTGATGCTCTGCAAACGGCACAGCTGGATAGAGCGCATAGCCGGTAGATGGCGCCTCTCCCACACGTAGGCGACTGCTACTCGAGTCCTCTGACGCGTCATCATCATGATCTCCTTTGTCGCTGTCCTGGGCATAAACGGGACGAAAGCGAATTTGAGGACCACGACGTTCACCAGGAGCCACGATTTGCGTTCCCGTGCCACTGTCGATATCGACGGCGTAGGAAGCTCCGTTCATTTGAAGGATCAACTGCTGGGTCGCGGAAGAGGGTCGTGGGGCTGGGAGCCACGGGGGGACCACGTTCTTGAACCGCAGGGAATACGGTCCGACCTAACAGCGTTACGTTTTTGCGTTTTTACACGTCTGTATTTTTTAGGAGAGGTTTCCTCGCGTCTGATCTGTGTTTATTGCAGCAGGGCTTTTCATATAATAGTGGGAGATATTTTAGTGTTGGTGACACATGTGGTACACTGACAAATTTCAGATGACAAAAGGTTGAACAAGACCAAGCACTGGGAATCACTGATGCACGTACCACAAAATTATCAGTATAATATACATTACCAGACTAAACTTAAGTACAATACCGTATATGCACATTGCATTCAACGAAAAGGAACTTGAGGAGGCAAAATTTTGTAATTTCTTCAAAAATTCCACATGAAACATCGAGTTTCGTCTGAGTTGATTGCCATGTCAATTCCTCTAAAAGGATGTCTTTCTATCCATTTTACTACAAGTGGCTACATCAATTAACCAATGCAATGACTCCCAACTTTTTAATCGACATTTTATTACGTAGGCTTACCATATGTCGATTTTCCAAGGAACAAGTCCACCACTTCTATCCTCCAGTTAATTTGTAATTTCTTCTTTGTCTTTTAAGAAAAACTGAATAGAATTCATTGGATTAATTTTGTCCTATTATAGGTATTTGAAGGCAAATTTTTCTAGGTTCGATAAAACAAAATCTCGAAGAAGTCATAAACAAACGCAAATAAAATACGATTTCCAAGTACAGTACAATGCTGATATTCTGAGTTACGTAAGCTGATCTCAATAGCAGAATTTAGTAAAAATTCCAATACTTTTAATTTCATTACAGGTGGACTAAGTCTAAAAAGATTTTCGCTGTAACACGATATTTTCTTCATGGTCTCAGTACAGTATAGTGTTCTCTAACCATGTTACAGGGGTTCTCTACAACGAAATTCTCCATAAAAAATAATTTTATCTGTATATCCTTGAAGTTTAAAGTAAGGAGAGTCCACCTGTGCTTTGTTTTAGCTTCCTTTCCAATCAAACATTTTGGAAAGAATATTTTTCGTACGGATATGCGATTTTTCAACTGTAAATGTAAACTTCATTCACTGGTGATTGGTAATGAAATTACGGTATTTGCAAAAATTAACTTTCAAGTTTGAACTAATGACTCAGGAAACGGTCTTCCGAAACTACAGGAAAAGAAATTCAGGATTTAAGTAATAACAGTATTTAATGAAGGAAATTTAGAAAAAAAAACTAATATGTCCTCAATATGAGTTGAAGACACTAGCATTTTCCAAAAAATGGTATGCTAACACTGACATTTCTCAGAATTGGAACAATAGAATATAAAATCGCGGAGATGTCTTGGATTCACAAGAACCAAAAGCGGAGATCTATTCCGTCTAATCCAGAGGTTCACGACAGGTGATCCTTGGAATTCCTCCGAGGAAAAAAATGCGGAACAATGTTCCGATCAACTCAAAAAAAAAAACTTACGTGATGGTCGATATCCCTGGAAGGTATCTCGACATCATCATCATCGTCTTCGTCCTCGTCCTCGTCTTCAAACGGCGAATAAACAACGGCGCTGCCAAAGGCAACCAGTGGAAGTTGGAACCGGCGAAGGCGCAGTCATCCCGAAAATTGGACTAGTCGAGGCTGGCTATATGCTCGTCACGGTTTCGCAAAGAGGAAGTGTGGTCGAAGGTACGTGATACACAATACAATAAAAGTCTCGTTACAACAAACCCAGAAAACGAATTCGTTCTGACAAAAACATAACGTCACATCGAAAAAACGAATTTTTCAAAATTTGAGGCCAATTTCGTCAACATGGATTGTTATTTTAAAAACTCACAATAAAAGTGTATCGCAAATAGAGTGACGAAGTTTCTCCAATTAAAAAATATTCCTACGTAGGTTTCATTTCAACAACTTCATTATAAGGAAACTGCGAAAAAAATATGCTGAAAATTCCAAGTTCTATAACACAGAAGAGAGACAACTTTTTTTACCTTAAATAATTTTTGAGGATTGGTTTTTCAAATACTGAATATAAAAAATATTTAAAAATTGAACGAAATTACCATCCAAGTCAATTGAACATTCGTACATTTTGTATTAACCTCAAGCGACGGTTTCCGTTGGTCACCTTCAACCTTGGCCGCTTCCGCGTCAGTAGGGCTTTTAACCTGATCAGCTCCGACCGATATACGAGCAGTGCCAAAGCGTTTCTCCTTCACACCAGCTTCCATGCAAATACACAATACAAGAAAAGTCTCGTTACAACAAACCCAGAAAACGAATTCGTTCTGACAAAAACATGACGTCACATCGAATAAACGAATTTTTCAAAATTTGAGGCCAATTTCGTCAACATGGATTGTTATTTAAAAAAGTCACAATAAAAGTGTATCGCAAATAGAGTGACGAAGTTTCTCCAAATAAAAAATATTCCTACGTAGGTTTCATTTCAACAACTTCATTATAAGGAAACTTCGAAAAAAATATGCTGAAAATTCCAAGTTCTATAACACAGAAGAGAGATTTGAAAAAAATGGAATTTATTAAAAACTCCTAACCAAAAAGTTTATGACTTATATTTTTTATAAATTTTTAACTTGCTTTAATGGTAGGTTCAGTTAACTTGTAAGCATGTAAAACATAATTGGAGTGGAGAGGCTCAATATGTTCCGATAAGGGCAGAAAAAGAACAAGAATGTCACCTGGTGCAAGAACGCATTCCGAGGAGGCATCCGACCACACGGCGCGTTCACCGTTGAATTCGCAACTGCGATATAATTCCACATTATCCTTGGACTTGAATGCTGAATCGCATTGATAATAAGCAAAGGTTCCGACGGGGTAACCGAGAATTCCTCTGGAACCCAGAGTGACGGCACCATTTTCCACTCCGGGCGGACTTGAACAATACTCTGAGAAAACGAAGGGAAATTTTCAAAAACCATCAAGCTTTTATCTTTCCCGTGTCAATGAAATAATATCCAAAGGCCTCCGATAAATTCGAGTTACGGAGGTTGGGAAAGCCTCTGAGTTGCGGGGCTTTTTGTGCCTAGTTCACAATTGACTTCAGACAGGGGCTTGAAAAAATTCGACACAGAGAGGTTCAATTAATCCAGGTTCAACAGTACCAATACGACTAGTAGAACCTTGTCATGAACTACGTAAAATTTGAACTGGACTTACCTTAGTTCTAATGATTTTACAAAAGACCTGGTACTAGCTCGCCTTCACTGTTTTATGACAGGAAGGTCTGGAGTGGTCACCATAGTGCAGGAATTCCCCGTAGAAATAAAGCCAACACAATCCCGAACAAGCTCCGCGCTTCGACAGAAATCATGTCGACTTCTGCGAATTAAAACCTTGTTGTAAACATACGTGAGCCCGCAGCGGGCGGCTGCTCGGCAGAGAATTTTTTCAAGGAAATAATCCTTCAGAATGATAAACTTAAAATAGGGATAAAATTGCGTTAACTGCCAAGGCCTATGCAGGCAACAAGTCCACAGTCTTACACCCTAGTCACATGGTAACTTTTTTTTTGCTTGTTAAGAAAGCTTATGAAAGGTTCTGTGATGACTCCTGAAGGAAATGTATGAAGATAATGTTATCGAAGGACTTGGAACATCGCGAAAATTGAGTGGATCAAATTCATGACGACTGGCGATTAAACAGCATTACAAATTTAAGAAATCCCAAGTATCAGTTAGTAGGATGCTTTTCAATTTCTTCCATTGATGCCAAACCCACTTGATAATAATTACGGTACAGATTTCATAAAATAATGTGACTCTCTCAGGCGTTAAAAAATTATAATCAACAAAAAATATAATTAAAAATTGAATGTTGAATCTCTAAGGAAGTCTACCGAAATCTGAACCACGCGCAGGTTAAGAAGTTGCACTTATGTCATATACAGTATCTTCAAAATCATGGAAAGCACTCGCAATACTGTTTCCGGATATATCATCATCACTTTAACCTTACGTGAGAAAAATTTTAAAAATAGCCGGGAGAATGACCATTCTAATGAATCGTTTATGGTGCGTTCTGTCTGACGTAAGAGTTCTAGAGTTGGGTTTGGAGCGTATTTGTACGAGACTTTCGTCTCCATTGAAACCCATTATCGTGGATTTTGATTCTTAGGTAAGCAAATAATCCGGACATCTACGCTAAAACCCATGAACTTAGTTGACGTCATTTAAACCGAATGAGACAGTAAATAATGGACTGTACATGGAATCGGGATGGATTAGCGTACGCATCGAATTTTTTTCGCTAATTCCGCACAAAACCGGTTCCTCCGAATCTTTCGCCAAGGTCAATTTTCCGAAATATTGGTTTTGTTTGCCCACACAAAACCGGATCCTCAGTCTTTCGCCAAGTCAATTTTCCGAAATATTACTTTTGTTTCCGTCCTAAATATCAGAAGTGAGGAAGTTCACTTTCTTTCATCGAGCACCATTAGCATCCATTTTAAATAATCGAGATTTATCTTGCGGAAAGTAATACTGTATAAGTACTGTGTACAGTGTAGTACAGTGTTTGGAAGGGAAAATCGAACTAAAACGGTGGGTGAAGAAGGAACATTTCAACTTATTAGCTTAAGCTCTTCAGCATTCAGAGATCACTATAATAACGCCGGTTCACAACAGATTGGAGATAGCCTTTCAAAGTACAGTATTTTCTTTCAACAGTACAATTTTAGCACTCCTTGGACCTGGGTGGCGGAGATGTAGGATTCCAAGGACCAATGAAATCTAAGTACTTCGAAAAGTCTACCTCTAATAGAAGTGCACATTCTCTGCAGCCTACGTGAAAAAGGGCATCAACATCCGCGGTGTTCAACGGCTTGGAATTAACACAAGGAATAATCGGCTTCATTTCGAGAAGTTCATGTTCGAAGAATTTCATCCAGGAAACGAGAAGAAATACGGTATGAGATCTTATGATCGAGGGCGGCATCCACAATCGTATAACGATGAAAGAGACCCATCAAAAAAGTATCAAGGGATCTCCACGCGAGTTTCCAGCGAGTCCGCGCTGATACAGAATTCGTCAGCAACGAACCCATCCGTAGTCTCAGCATTCCCACCATCATCATCATCATTATCTCCACCATCAGTATCTCCTCCCTCGCACTCACAAATTTGCTGGAAATAGGCGAACACGGCGATCCAAAGTGCCACGTTCACGGCTGCAGAGAACACTTCTTGTGCAAAGACGGGCTTGAGGTCGTGGCGCACCAGGCAACTGAAGAACATGATGAGTCCCATGGTGACGATCCCAAGGCAAGTGGCCGTGGTTCGCCAAATGAGCCACAAGTGGACCATGTCAGGGATATTTGTGAAGATTCCGTAGACGAGAAGGCCGTTCGTGATCATCCCCACTGTGTTCAGCAAGTAGGCTTTGTAGTACAAGAACATGACGAGCGCTGTCCACATTGCTGGACACTCGTTTCCGAAGCAGCTGAGGAAAAATATTTCAACTTATTCTCTTGAACAATATTTATTTGATAATTTAAAAAACTTGTTCTGGAGATAAAACTCTTGGAAAAATCGATCGAGATTTCTTGATCCCCGGAAAAATGTACTTCATTGAAGGACTAAACCCTACCTCTCGCTTTCGCTCCACCATGGTTGCTTGTTGAACGAGTTGAAGCACATGAAGAAGCCGATCATTCCGATGGCGAGAACTATCTTGTCGATACTGCATTTCGAGTACTTTTTATAAAAATCCGATTCTATGATAGGACACAACGTCCGTCTCCACACTGAACACTTTTCCGTCGGACTCGTGTACTGCTTCACGATTTCAATCAACGCAGCGACGCATATACAACTAGATGATGAAATGAACCCAACATGTTCAAGAAACAGGGAAAATTCATGAGTGCCAGAACGCCGTCAATACAATACGGGTTTGTTTACGTAATGCCCAACCTCGCTATCATACATTTCATAGGCAGGTATAACTAAAAATAAACGGACGAATAATAACGAATTAAATTTAAGTCAATCTGGTTTGAGATACTTTGCCTTTCATCTTTAACACAGGGCTATCAATTTCAACTTAGCGTTCACCTCTTCGAACTGGAATTCAGTACTTCAAAAATAATGATGAAAAATGTTTGGCCTATTTTGGCCTAAGCATGAACGGTTATTTGGAGAAAACGTGTCTGATGCATCCAGAAGCCTATCTGAAATAAGAGGAAAATTCCAATATTTGCATGTTGTGATTCTTGCGACTGTAGCCACACGGCAAGAAAGTCAGCTATTGTCCTCGATCTCGCTCGAGGTATAGAAACAAAAAAAAAATTGATGAGAAGCATAAAACCCATTTCGACCACGAAGAATATGACGGTAGGTGGGGCATCACAGTGAGAACACTGAAATGAAGGCAACACCAGTCAGTTTAAAAATTCAATTCGTAAAATCAATCGAAACCCCGATAAAAAATAAAAAAATCAGCCAGGAATTCTGAAAATATGATCATGATAGCATCACATCCGATTTAATTAATCACCTGTTGACCGGAGGAGTCTTTTCACACAAATTTTCGTCAGCCCCATAAGTACAAGGGTTCAGCCATTTCTTCACACAAGCTGCCATGGCTGCTGGCGAGGTAAAAAATTTGAAAGAATAAAACACGTCATCAAAAGCCTTTCCAACACGTTCTACGGGTAAAACCTTCAAAATGATTTATCATAAATGGCTAGGGGAGAAGCTACAAATTATAACGCAGGAGTAAGCGACGCGTAATCAGGATTAGACAAAAACAAAAATGAGTAAAAACACTGATTGAACTTTAGTCAAGTGGGGCGACATAGCGCTTTAATAGATAGCTGATGCTAGTTCTTCTTTTGCTTGAGCAGGAAGGAATCCATCCGCTTCTCCGGATTCCACGTCATCTCCACCGACACCGCCTTCGGTGTCATTCCCTGATCCCTGAAAATAAAATAATAGGATTAGGTTGAAAGAAAAACCTCTGAAGTCAAAGAGCAACTCACTCCTTGTTCGGTGTATGCATACACAACCACCCATGCACCAAGGTTGGCCATCATCCGGAGAAACTCGTTCCAATACTCAGCATCCAAAGTGCTGGGAGAAAAATGGCTGAAGACGAAGATGAGAAGAAAGCTACCAAACCCCATGCACACGGCGATCGTTCTCCACATCAGCCAGAGTGTGATGTAGTCCGACTTTTCAGTGTGGATTCCATAGACGAGACCCGCGCGACACTGGTACGGGTACTGCAAGTTACGGTCCCGAAAGTCCATGTAGTACTAGTGGTAATAGAAGGTTAAGACGCCTGTACAACGCAGAAGAGGCTATGTGGACCCCTGTTTCTGTGTGTTTTAGTAATCTTTTTCTTCAACCCCAAAATCTTGGCATAGGTTTGGAAAACGCAATGTTTTGATTAACATCATGAAGGGTTTGTTTGCTCTTTTCGAGTTACGCAGGCGACATTTCTAACGAAATCACGAAGTCCATGCCAGATATGAGATACCCCTGATTTTTAGAAGTGCTAATTTGAAAAAAATAAGTGCACATTACATTTGGAGATCAGTGTACTGAGGAAAGTTGACGTTCTCCATGCCAATATATTGTTTCGATAATGAATGACGTAAATGATTCACGATTGCAACTAAAACTTCAAAAAAATCTTTAGTTCTATCCGCTTCATTGTTACCTCCGAAATACGCGGAGTGCTACTTTGAAAACTTTGCTCATTACTCAAACTACTTCGATCGTCTCGAATATGCTTTTACAATACTGCAATTGTTACTTTCATGGATTATTCATCAGTATTTAATCACGCTGCGACTGAGGATTCAGTAGGGTACGAAATCACAACGTAACTCACGCTTGGACCTGATCCCACCACGGCTTGGCAAAAAACGACTCCACGCAAATGAGAAAGCCCAGAAAGCCGACAGTCATAGCGAGCTTCTTCAATTTGTCGCATTGGGCTAATTTCTTGTAAGATTCGGATTCGAACACCGGACACAGAAGGGTGCGCATGAAAGAACCCTCTTCCGTTGGACTCACCCATTCCCCAAACGTGTCGAGCAAATACCCACAACAAGGTTCCCTGCAAAATCGAAAAAAAACAATAGTACAGACATACACAAAATTCTTCAGTTTTCAATGCGAGATTCCAGCAGAAACAATGCTGGGGGTAACGGGATTTCCAATGTTACATGATTCTAGTTTTAGGTCAATTGCACTGAGTACCTCACAGCTACAGTACTTCCCACCAACCCTAAAATTCAAGGGTCGCGTTCGATTACTTTCAGCATCAGAAAAGAGAAAAATTGCTGAAGCTCTTGTAAATAGTTACGACGCAGCTCGAAGAAGAGCGAGCATGTACCTTCTGCATCAAGAAGTAACAAATTATTTTCCGCAGACTCACTTGCTTTCTCCTCCTTCTTCATCCTCACCACTAGCACAAAGTTTATTCAGCCAGTCGCCCCATGACGCAATGCAGGACCCCATGGCGAAGGTCTCGCAGATTTTGATGGAATGGTTAATGAAGGAATTTTGTTCTAACCCACTCCCGAGTGTATAAATTTGGGCGTAAATATACACAGGAGTACAGGGAGTAATAGTATAAATATCCCCGCAGGAATTAACATAAATTTCGCCAGCTCATCAAGTTCAGTCCGAACCTTCAAGGTGCCATTCCACCCTAAAGCCTCAGCTTTCATCCAAGGCACGTGGTTTAGTCCCAAATTTTCGCGACTTAGAAATCAAGAAGCCTGATTCTGCGCCCAGATCTTCTTCACCCATTCCTCCTTCCAGACATCCAGCATACTGAAAAAAATTGTATTAAGATAAATGCACGGAAAAAACATACAGCATTCGTGCTGTACTTTTGAGTTTCCTCAGATTGAACTTTTCGACATGATTTTCATGTTTCCACATTCTTGGTTGCGTGAATTCGCTCACATTTAACTTTTCGATGTGATTCAATGGTTCTCAATTTTTTACTTGGGTGCAACAAAAATAGAAATGTCGTCCACGCTTTTTGTTCAAATACCAAGGAGTGCATCAAGTCAAAAAATAGGCCATAGAAACATGAACAAATCGATGAACAAGAATGATTGTGTCCGTGTATGCAGGACACAATCATTATAGGAACAATTGTGGTTCGTGTACCTATTTAAAAAATTATACACTACAGTATAATTCCGAAGTCAATCTTAATTCTCAACAAAATAATTCTGGTGGTAAGTTGAAGCGAACACTGAATTTTGAGCATCTGAATTTTTTGATACCAAACTGGTAGGATTTCGCAGAAACTCCAAGCAAGCGCAGATTTAATACATATTCGACCATTCATAGTCACATAGTTATTGTAAGAGTAAGGATATGGTAAGAGTTTTAACAAAGCTGAACAGGAAATACTTCGAAAATAAGTCAAGTCCTTACCGCAAGAAAAATTATAACATCACAAACCTGATTTAAACACTGTATATTTACAGTGAATTCGAGGCATCCATGAATAAAATTAACATTAACCACTAACAAATCACAACAATAACACTACATTAACACTACACACATAACACTTCACAAAAATTTTTTTTTCTGGTGCCCGCAGACCTTCAAGTATTACCTGCATGGAATTTATATATTTAGGTATTCAATACGACGACACATCCGCAACACGAGGAATTCGTTTTAATCCTCAATTTAGAGGAAGTCCATCTGTAAACTAGGTCTACGACGATGATTCCCCCTTCAGAGAAGAGAAAGGACGAACCTTTTCATAGATCGCAAAAATGACAATCAAGGCTATAAAATTGCCCAGAAGTCCCACAGCCTCCATGAAAATGGTGAAGTTCAATTCTTTCTCCACGCCCATCGTGAACACTGCCATTAGCGGGATGCTGAATGCACCAATGAAAATCGCCATGGTCCTCCAGACTAGCCACAAGTAGATGCAATCCAGGTTCTGAAAATAAATCGCAACCAGAAGTGCGAAACTTGTCACCACTCCCATCAGATTCAGCGTCAGATCTTTGATGAACAGGAACATGGACAAGAACCACCACAACGCCGTACAGTCCTTGTTGTCACTTTCATAACAGCTGCAGATAATAAAAAAAGACGGGAATGATGTTATAGAAACACAATACAAGATACTTGAATCAACAGAGAAATGGAATTCTTCTTGAATTCCATAAATCTTTTCAGCTAATTAATTTCTAGACAACAAATTGAGAAACAATTCCAAGCATGTCCTCCTTGAAACTGTATCGGAAATTTGTCAAAATTCCACGTTTTCGAACATTTCTCAGGTGTTCATGAGCCGTCAACCTAAATCCAGTACATCAAGTACGAAGGATAGGATAGTGATAATTCCCAAAATAGATCGGGTAAGTGAAGACTTCACTACTCCTAGTTACCATAGATATTAGTTTCGTTTACTGCACTTGCTCACGGAAGCGAATCGTTAGGACAAGTTATTCGTCAAACTGAGTCGGTTGAGCGTTAGTTTCTCACTTCTGTAAAAACCAGCAACTCCTTTTTTTTTAGACAGTAATGTTGTCAAGTGAAGTCACGCAAGTTACTCGCCAGAATACGCTAGGCGAGTAACTTGAAAGGCTAGGCTGGTTCTTCAATTTATGCAGTTTCACGTTAGACTAGCTTGTCCGCAATATTTCGGAACGTAACATTTTTTGAGATCGGGTTTCCACTCGAATAGGGGAACGAAAAATATTATTTTCGTAGAACGGCCAAATTCAACGAAGAACTAAGAAAGTAAAAATTAATACCGGACGCCCAAGGCGGAACCGTTCTGCCAATTATTTTTGGAATAGCCAGGCAGTACCTTTGCACATCTTCAATCCAGGGCATTTCGAACAATGAGAACATAGCAGCTGCGACACTGAAGACAGCCACTAGATACGCGATCAACTCGATCTTGCACCCCGCGTATTTCTGATAAAACTCCGAATTCCGGATAGGACCGAGGATGTACTGCAGAATGGAACATTTGTCCGTCGGTGCGCGGACCAACTTCTTCAGATACTCCGTCACCTGCCCACACAACGAACACCTGGCCGAAAATCGAGAATGTCAATGAAAAATCAGAACAGAAGTGACTTTCAATTAGAAGACAGAATATATAACTTGAACTCAGGAAGCGTCTCTGAAAACTTGAATGAAAGTTCAAGTAAAGCTATTTGTGTGAGTTATAAATACAGTGTTGAGCTTTCTCCGGACAAGTAATAAAAAAAATGTAATAAATTTAAATAACAGACTGGATCTCGTACAAAAAGGACATGTGTGTGAATGTACATATAAAATAATTCGTGAATGTCCTGCATATGTTCATTTCTCGAGTTGAAACAAAATTCGGGGAAATTTATTTTAAATACTGCTTCAAAAATTTTAATCGAGTATTCCAATAAATCCAAAATTGCAACGCAGAAAAAAAACGGGTAGTAAATAAATCGCGAACACTTTCCGACGCATTATAATTTCCCATCTAGTCAAAAAAATTTCTTCCACGTATTTCTGGTCAACATTTTCGGAAAACCTATAAGCGTAACCAAATTCAAGAGTTAGTAAAAGAATGTCATTATTTTTAGTAATTAACACTAAGAAAAACAGTACTGTCCAAAATCGCAAACGTAAGAGAGTCCATGAGTTATTAAACTTCAATGCAAACCAAGAAAAGTTGATGAAATCCTACCTATCGGCGTCGAAGTTCTCGCAAACTTCTCCTTCGTCGGGACATTCCGGAAACCACGGCCGTGGAGGACAATCACTAATCTGCGGACATTCCTCCCCCATTGCAAACGCACTTCGCGTATAGGAAAAAAGCTACACAAAACGAGAATTTAATCAACGAATAAAAAAAAAGTTAAAACGAATAGCGGTTTCAACAGCCCATTAGATGCTCACTGACGACTCATCCGTTGAAGATGTCGAAGGTCAGACCGTTGAGATTATTGCTTGAATTGATGCGCGAATCTAATCAGGATATACATTAGTTCATAAGCCCTTCTCATGTTAAAGCTGTTCTCGCCTTTCTGTAAAATCCGACTCACCTGAAGGGATGGCGACATATCCTAATATCTGATCAACCTCTAAACAAGCCTTGAATGAAATATTCAAAGACAACTGTCGTAATATCAATAATCCTGTGAGCAATATATAATACTTTAATACATTCTACAGTATAATTTAACACTTCATTCACTTCCCCAATTCAAGGCAAAAATCAAGAAAATGACTCCCTCAAAAATCTACCCTGATGTTGAAGTAATGAATATTTAAATAATTCATCCTGAACCGCGATAACTAGTTCTAAGATGAATATTCTTTTAACTCTAAAAATTTCACAAGTCCGCATTACAAGTCCGATTTCAACGAACTCAACACAATACTGCGCCTGAGACATCATTAAACCAATAAAATCTTAACCAACCCAAAAGAATGCTCGAAGTACGGATGACAAAAACATTTCCCAATACTGTATACTGTATCAGACTTAAAATAACCTAACCGATTAGTGAAGCAGTCAGTCGATTAAAAACCCAACCGAATATCACAACTAATCGGTCAACTAATAATTAGGGAATCACCCAAACCATTGCTTAGATATCTTTCCCCATCAACCTTTTGTAATACTGTAATCGCACTAAATTTACGATAAACAAACCAATCCTCATCTGACTCCGGTCCCCTAATGCCTAAAATATAACCAACTGCCAGGATTTCAAGTAACCAGCCTTGTACTCAAGTCATAAATGAATAAATCCTAACACAACCTTCGTTAGCACATGATAACCAACTAAGCTCCGCAGGGGCAGAATCAACTAAAAATACTGCCTACTAAAAGGATAGATGAGAAATGCAGGGAAGCAATTTATTACCTCTCTTTTTGACTTCTATGAGGAACGACTCTGGGAACGAGGAACGAAAAAAAAAAACTATACACCTCAATCGCCATCGAATGGACAAAACAAGCGCCGCGCTTTTGCCGCCACGACCTCCACAGTGCGGAGCAATCACAGGCCCAACACCCTCCTTCTGCCAGCCAAGCACTCGAAAAAGCAACGTAGCAAAGAAAGACGGCGGCGTCAGATCTCACAAAAAATGTTTTCTCAAATGTTTCAAGGAAACCAACACTTGAATTTTCTTTTTGAACTTCTGGAGCAGTAAAAACTCTTCCGACATTCAGATCACAAACGACTCATCATAAGGATTAACGGACAAGGTGTCCCGAAGTAAGGAGATACATTCAAGAAAACTACAACAGTGAAAATCAATTTTACAGAGCGCTTCAAAGTTTGAGCTTATTGCTGTTTTGTTTCTCAATAACAGAAGGATGAATCTCAGATGAATAGGTCACAAATAAAGGGCGTCCAAAATGTTCCAGTGCAGTAAAAGATTAGCACTCAAAAACTCACGCAGAAAAAAAAGGTGATGCAAATTTTTCGAAGTTAAAAAAGTGATGCTTCTACCAAGGAATATATCTTGAAACATCGGGCCCTCACCCAAAAATTCAATCTCCACCCTCGTATTTTACAGAAGCAATTTCTATGCAAACAAGAAGGGGGACCCTGAACATGATATTCATGGAATGACTCGGTGTAAAATTAATATGGCTAATATGCCCGCACATCTACCCACATCATAATACTTGAGGATTTTCACGAATAAAGCAGGAAAATTACAAAATTGATCTAAAATATAACCACACATCACAGTAATTCTCGGGATCACTCATTTGAAAATAAATGACATTGTGACTGCCAGCGGAATCTACCCACAGTTCAACAAACCGTCCTTGTTGTGGATCAAACAGGAAAATGTGCCACTCGCAAAAAAAAATAATAATCTCACACCACGCCGCAACTTTTTGGACACCCTTCAATGAAAAGACATTCTAACTTAATCTAAAGATGACTAAAAATGTACTAACCTTGCCTCGCGTTTGAGGTAGAAATCAAAGAGGTGAGTTCATCATGTTTCAAAAAATGGCGAATACGATTGCACTAACGAATTGGCTCGCTCGTGATCCGAGCTTCTAACACATGAAACACAAACGCGACTTTTCCGCCGTCATCACATAATTCACGCTGAGGCTTTTTTCTTTCCTTCCATCCCACACATCACCCGAGCTGAACTCTGAGCGTAAAATTGGAGCACAAAAAAAAGAAGAGAAAAGAAAAAACAGCTTTAGGCGCTGCAAGAAACAGTATCAAGCGTTGTTCTTGGGTATCCCGAAGATCCGTTGCTGGACCGGTCGAATGTGTACGGCCCACTGTACACTTTGGAGGTTTCATTTTGAAGATCGTTTTCCTCACGTTCAAAAGAATCAGTGCCTCTGCTTTCTGCGTAGACTGTCGTGTCTCCGTCTACTGTGTCATCGCGATCGTTCACGCAAAAAGTAGCGAAACAGCCAATTATGATGCCCTGCAAAAATTGGAATCCATTCCATGCTGAATTAATTACTCTTCAGAATTATCCTTCCGCGTCCCAAGGAAATGGCGGTTGACATTCAAAAAAACCACACCAGAACCTTCCTACAACAGTTCAAACTTCCATGTATTCCATGAAAATCAAACTTCAATCTCTAAGCCCAATACTGATTGAAACATATTCAACTCACTACCTACCTCAAGTAACAAACACCTAAAATATCTAGCGATCTAGTCTAATGTAATGCATCAAGTGCTGATAAATAAATACTGTATCGACTTGCGTGCCATGCACCCTCAAGTAATATACACACCAGGGTTTTCAATGTAAAATTTTAATAAACTCGTATCCACGAGCAAGACGCGCACCACATTCCTAATGACAACTGCAATAAAGTGTTTCAAAAATACAGACATCCAAATTCGAATTTAGACATCAATCTGAATCCAATTACTTATCAACTGATTCCATAAAAACAAGTTTTTGGCTAAAATTGGTCCGAAATTTCCTATTAAAATTAAATATGAGGCACATCCAAAATTCTATAAATTTTTAAAAATGTATACCCGCGTATGACAAGCACCGCCTTAGCTCCTCTTTAGTTTGAGAAAAAAGGTGCTGATGGTACTCGAGTACATACGGCATTCCGGGAAACCCAACCTAATACAGTACTTTACATAGGTTTAGATCCTTCTCAGTTTCGACTACAGTACCGACGCCTATTTAGATCATCGTACCAAAGTAAATAATAACGCAAAATAATATAAAGTACTGCAGTTGATGAATCATAATTAATTCCATTTTATGCTTAGATCCATCACAGGGTGGAAAAAGGGAAATATAGTGACGTAATCCGACACGTGTTTACGAACTCGAAAAATGAGGGCACGTTTCTGGCGATCCCAAAGCATATCTCTCCGATTTCCACGCGCCAGCAGAGAATTCTAGTCACAAAGAGTATCCCCTTCTTTCCCACGTGATATAATTTCAATTCCCCGGATTATGCCAAGATTGTTAGATTGTTTTGGCTTCTTCTACACTGCCCCTTCTACACGCACTTCATGCATAAAAGTTCCCCAGAAGATACGGACGGTTTTATGGATATAGTAACGCATGGCTCCTTCCGAATAAATAGAGAAAAACAAACTGAACCTAGCAGATCTCATGTTCCGTTCAAAAATACCAGAAGTCTCACCACAGCAATCGTCGTAATTCCAAATAAAGTTGAAGTAACTCCAAAGCCGAAGTTATCCATAAGCAGACCGCCCAATGCTGGACCAAGAACCTCCCTGTACGAGACAAAAATAAACGTCATCAAAATAATCAACAGAAAGAAAAGGTTCAATATGACAAACCCCAGAGAATAAAGTGAAGTCCAAACACCGGACACCAAACCATAGGTCGAAATGTTCTCTTTGTAGCCAGCATCACTGAAAAAATAATAAATTAAATAATACCAAGTCATCATCTAGTTGATGGAGAACTCACGATGCGGCATCCAGTACGAGCTGAAAAGTTGGCACGAGTCCCCACGCAATCGCAGTACCCATTAGCCCAAGACACAGAACATTCGACCACAAAGTACTGGAAAGAAACACGAAACATTTCAACATTTTTAAAAATACTTTCGCGGCCCGTGAACTAACTCTGGCAAGTACGGAATCCAAGGTGACGGCCCCAGGAAAATCAGTATCGTTCCCAACACCACCAACCCGGATGACACCAGAGTCCATCCGTTAATCCAGCGGTCGCTGACGAATCCCCAAATGGGACTTGAAATGGCGTAAGTGACGGACGATAGTAAGAAGAATAGTCCGAGCTGGTTAGCAGTGAGTTGAAACTGCTCCAGATGCGGCTGCAGAGTGGGATCGAGGTAAGACCAATCCGCGGAAAGCACGGTCACAGCCACGCATATCATTCCGATCCTCGGCTGGCGAAGAAACTCCAGCATTCCCGATTTCCGATTCGCTGCATTCTGTCGCACTGCTTCTGCAGCTGGGGTACAAAGACACACATACACATTAATCAACCATACTTCTAATTTATCGAGAAGCGATCGACCACCAGCGCATCAATCAATACTGTATTACAATACTTCCAGCAGTGAGTGATTTCAGCGCTGACGATCATACATGCATTTCTGCTAAGTTTCAGTGTACCCAAGTCTCTCAAAATTAATCCAAAGCTTCTTCAGGAATGCTTCAAGAATCAATGGTTTATAAAATACATTCAGTTAAAAAAGGGGCCAAAATTTAAATTTTTTTGGGTATCAACTCTTATATATCGAAAGCTGATTTCATTTCGTTGGAAAAAATGAATATAAAAATTAAATTGTATTACTTCAGGTGATAATAAATTATTTACTGTACAAAACAAAACAAAAAACTCCGGTAAAATAGTACTGAACTCACTTTCACGTTTATCGGGAGGCAAGAGAGCCATGTTCAACGGAACACTCAGCAACATCATGCTACCAAGCACCAGAAACGGCAGGTAGTAACCATCCAACTAAAAAATTGCGGGGAAAAGATAAAATTCACGACCAGAATAATCAATCCAATTTTACCTCAGGAACACTGCGTACTTCAATTATCTGACAAAATGATAGTTCATATTGGTATTACATTTGAGGCTCCGAGAAAGCATACAATATTACTATAGGGCGTATATGTGCTGTACAGTACAATAGGTTGAAAGACTACTAAAAACTTGATCGGCATTGGAATACTGTCCTCTGAATTTTATAAAATCTTGGATTAAATAAATAAAATACGATTGTTTGGTGATGTTGAAAAATTATGGCTTGAACCAAGAAAATCCATCACGATTGAATGAACTCCACCCTGAGGTTCTCTGACCATGCCATCTCACTGCAATGATGTAAAGGCGAACATCACAAAAAATGCAGAAGCAGATTAAAACCACCTTGGCACCCTGAACTATTTTTGAGTCTATTCTCGAAAATTTTCCCGAAAATACGAATTAACAATCTCGCAACCTTCTGGACATTCTATTCAATTCGAACGGTTAAAGCCGTTGTTACACGCAAATTTTAGATAAAAACAAACACTTTTTACTCACATCATACAAAGCTCCACCGATTGCGGGGCCAACTGACAAACCAAGCCCAACAAAAGTTTCCAGAGTTCCCATGACAGCTCCAATATTGTCAGGAAATAATTCCGCCACCAAAGGAAACGCGGCGGCGGAAAATGCGGCAGCCCCGACGGCTTCCATGCATCGAACGAGAAGACAAAACGCAACGAACTCCATTTTGCCTTCAATACGGTCAAGAAATCCAAAGAGAACACAGCAAGCACCGCTGACAAACGTTCCACTAACAAACATGAACTTCAAGCCAATTCGAGGAATCTGGGGGGCAAAACATAATGAATGTAAATTACAATTGACGAAGCATTGGGTCAGATAAACTCACCATTTTTCCCATGGTAGGAGACACCATAAAACAAACAAGCGCGTATGAGCTAAAAATCATTCCAGAAAGTGCTGGAGAAACACCTCGAGCTCCTGCCTAAGGGACAAACATTTTCCGTAAGCCAATATATACAGTATTTCCATCTCAAGAACAAAATTTAACTCTCTTTTGAATAATAAAATTAAAAGAAGCATTTCTACGCACTGTACAATATATGAATTACTGGAAATTTGAAAGCAAAAAATAATTGAGGTGGTGCAGTACCGTTCCAGTATATCTGGGGAGAGCGAGGTAGAAAAGACCAATGATTCATGCATTAAAGTACTTTAAATTATTGAAAAAGCATCATTAAATATTTAAATTGCCTACTTTTAATTTTTGAAGCACCAAATTCTCTGGGAAATGGGTTGAGAAACTTACATGTAACATTGAGGCTTAAAATTTCGTAGCTTAGGTTCATCATCCAGCCGAGGAGCATAATGAAATATTCTGAATATTCGTTCATGACGTATAAAAATATCGGTATTCAAGAAGTGGACCAGTTTCTATTGATTGGCTTCGGTGATGGAATTTCAAAGCCTTCACTGGATGTGATCAATTAATAGCAGAAGAGTACGAACCTCAGCAGGAAAGAAAGGTGCCATTATAGACAAACAGAGATATGACGTGAAATCGACGATTGCAATGGACATCAACACCGAAGCACGTTTCCAGTCCGAACACAGGGACTTTATCCCTCCGAATTCAGACGACGCTTCATCGCTTTCTTTCGCATCCGTCAGGCTTCTCACAAACTCGTCCGATGAATCTCGAAGCAGAGGTAATCATGAGCACTTGTGGGTTGATTTTCAACCAACTTGAAAGCTTACCAACTGCTAACACGTCACAGGAAGCCGACCGCACCCGAGAGAGTTGCTTGCTGTCCTTCTTCCTGTCTCTCTTGGCAGGTCGAATATCTCTGATGAATGTGTAGGCAACGCCACGAACCCTAACGGGACGACCGCTCGGAGTCCAACGAGCATCCAAGACCCTTCGTCTTGCCCTCGCACGCTGCACGATTCGCACGGAGTTGGCCAAACAAACATCATCCAATGATGTTCGCGCTGGAGGCTCGGACCTTCCACGCTTTCCAGCATTAATTACCGACGCTGGAAGCTCTCGTGTTGGAGAAATGGATCCATAATAAGACGGCGAAGCTACGCCGTCGAAAGGGGGTTCGCTAGCAATGGATTCCCGACGAAGAGGCTGCACCACGGGGTCATCCGGGGTGTGAAGGAAATCCATGTTTTCTCACCTATTCCGAAGGGTATCGTCCACGCGCGCGCTTTGTACTCCCGAAAACCCACCATCGCCGTTCAAAAAACGGCTTCACTACATCAAAGGGGAAAAAGCCATGAATTATGTGATGCGACAGCTTCAGTACCTGCGTGCACACAACTTAAGTTTTTTGAAGGCCAAACTTGATTTTTACAATAAATTTGCATTCACAAAAATTAGTTAGCTAGCGAATCAAAAAAGCGTCTCGATTTCTGCTTTTACACCAAATTGCTTGATCAAGCTAGACACGGTGGTTAACGGAACAACGTGGAAATTTGGGGAATACACGCAAGTCAAATAACGTGAAAACGTTTTCGCACAGCACGACCGTGGGCTACAGCATTTCTAAGCAAAATTGTCCTGATGATCACAAGTTTCAAAGGAACACACTTATTCACCTTCATGTCAATTCTTACAGAGGTAGAACTCGTCCGTCTGTACAGCACTTGGAATGGTATACACTTCTAACAAGGCACATTAAACCTGTAGAATAATGAGCAACATTTACTGTACGGTGTAAGGATTTTGAAAATTGATGATGTTGAATTCACGATCACACTGAACAAACCACCATTAAGCACGTCAATGCATTTTTCAAGCGTTAGTGAAATTGAACTGCAAGTTTTATAATCCATATATTTACATATGTAAATTGATTTCGCAACACGCATTCCAACACGAAACAAAAGTTTCCATCCTCAGAATTACTTCTGCCGAACGCATGAGGCGAATCCAAATGATAGTACGCGCCGCTGGCGCAACTGAGCTTGACTCTGTGGCACGAAACGCTCTATACCGAGAATGGCGGTGTAGTAAGAATCGAGCTCTGCAACATGGCGACATGGCACGCAAGAATTAGTTATGTCGTCCCGAAGAAATCGCGGTTCTTGTTGCAGTCGAGTTAATGCATTAATTGATCTCAAGAATTTGAGGAACTCATTTCTGTCATGTTTCCGTGAAGTTCTGCTCTTTCAAATCTTCGTTTTTTTGTATTCCAGCTTTGCGTGCGTGTGTAAGTCGATTGTGTTCGGCGGACGTCAACATGGTTACTCAAAAGAAGCAGGTATGTTCATCATGAAGTATTCTTTCGTTAGATTCTCTAAATTTGCCTGCATATCTTTTATGATCATTCAGAAAAAGGCGATCGAGAGCATCAACACTCGACTCGCGTTGGTCATGAAGTCTGGAAAGTTCGTCCTGGGTTATCGACAGACTTTGAAAACACTGCGTCAAGGAAAAGCTAAGTTGGTCATCATCGCCAACAACGCTCCGCCGTTGCGGTAAGAGAATTTCGGAAAATTTTGGTATGTACTCTTATCAGACGGGAATCGTTCTAACCTTGCAGAAAATCTGAAACGGAATATTATGCCATGCTGGCGAAAACTGGTGTCCATCATTACACCGGCAACAACATCGAACTTGGCACGGCGTGTGGCAAATATTTCCGTGTTTGTACGTTAGCGATCACAGATCCGGGTGATTCCGACATCATCCGCACGATGCCGGCATCGGAAGGCGGTACCGCTCCGTCATAAGTGCATTGTTCAGTGACTTAGAACGGTTAATAAACCAGTTCGTTCTTTCCTGAATACCATCACTTGGTCTCTTCTTTTGTTTTTATAATCGCGAGTTCTTATTCCCAGAATCGTGAAATATCATGTCAGGTGACTCTCGATTGGAACCCTTGCTTAAGAAACGCAAATGTGAATTTAAAGGCAGAGCAATCGTAGATGATGAATGGACTTGTCAGCAGCCAACTACGCGAGTGTTCGTGGGATGCATAATCGATAAGAAGTTAGTTAGCTCAGTCTTGGAGAAATTGAATATCGTGTCGCCTATTCCGGCCCTGAAACACTTGCGACGTGTGAGAAAGAATGGACATCGCTTGGAAATCATCCTCTCCGAATATTCCGACGTCAACACTTCCTCAAGCACCTATCTAGACGATGTAAGTCTATAAGGTCCCGATCTTCTACGACAACTCCACAACCTCCATGCCGTAATAAAAGGATGCTGTCATATGCGCTACCACCTGCCTGAAGAGCCGCTATTTAAAAAACAGTTCTCAAAGACTCAGGGGATTGTATGGTCACGTATTTCTAAGATTTTGTGCAGCCTGATCAATCACACCTCTCAATACAATACTTTGCCTGTTCGAAGATCAAAAAATAACCGATTAAGAAATACTGTAAGTCAAGTTTGTGCTCGGTATCTCAAATATCGGCATAGTTCGATCGTCAGTTTCTGATTTCGTAATCTTGGAACTGGTAGGTCGATTTCATTGTGAACATGATCTGAAAATCTTCAATCTTATAGGTGGCTGCCTGCTGTCCTGTGACCCAAGAGCAGTACAAGTTCTCCAGAAATCTATGGCCCACTAATTTCCACGAAAATCAGTACATCGAGAAGCTTTTAACATGCAATGTCTTCAGTACTGCAGACCAGTCGGCAATTCGTGAAGCTACGTGTCGCTTAGAAGACCTGAAGACCTCAATCTCCGCTATCATCATTAACCCGGTAGATGGAAAAGTCATGGGTGAAGGAATGGACCGGAGAGATGGTCATCCATTACATCACGCAGTCATGGCCGCACTCGATGAAGTATCAAACAAACAACGCGAGTTTCCGGATGAAAGTTATTTGTGCACAGGATTTGATGCCTTCATGCGTGAAGAACCTTGCATCATGTGTGCAATGGCACTTTTACACTCTAGAATCAGAAGAGTCTTCTACCGAAATGCTAAACCAAATGGAGCCCTGGGGTCGTTATGCAAATTGAATTGTTTCAAAGTTATGAACCATTCATTCGAAGTATTCCATGGATTTCCTGTATTTGAATAAATATTCTTTACTTTCTAGTTCTTATAGTTATATTTTGTGCGACTTGGCTGAGGAATCAGAAAACAGCCCTAAGTTCTTGGAGCATGGAGAAGGTAAAATTCTTGTGACTTGATCTACTCAGCGCCCCAAAAAATAAAACAATCTTGGTATTCTCAGAGACAATTAATAATTAGGATGCAATATCCCTCCCAGCCAATGAATCTTGCCCAATTGCATGTCAGAAATGCTAGTGATTTAGTGAGATTGCGCATAGTTAAAGAAGTACCACCCATCCTAATTCATTCGTCCAGCAACCGCTAATGTTGGGAAGATGCCGAAGTTATCGCATTCTCTCATAGGGTTCCACCTACCTCAACCACAGCGTTCATGATCTCAAGTTCTAAAATATTCATTTAATCGCTATTTGAGACAGGGAAAGGAAAACATTAAACTCTGATTTCAGTTTGGAACAGATGAGATTTCGAGATTCACTTTGGCATCAACGCATCCTGAGCTCAGCCTTCATTTCCGTTAATTTCACACAATGCACGAAGCGAAAAAAAAAAGCGTCAGAAGGATCACTCTCAACGGAACTAATGAACCAATCAAATATAACTCCGAAGACGAAAAAACACCACCTTTGCAGAGCACGTGATCACTGTCAATGAACAACGTTGCTGACTCTCGTAAAACAATCGCCAACAAGCCACCTGAACAAAACCTTTGCACAGCTTAACCACAAACAGCCCGTGAAATATCGCGCAAGATGGATCACTCGAATTTTTCCAAATAAATATCAAAAAGCAAGGCCAGTAGACTAAACAAAACTCAGTTGATCACATCTTTCTTCCAGCCGCAAAAAAAAGGACGCCGGAGCTCTCCTCTCATCTTCCCTTAAAGAATATCCTGCCACAGACAACAAGATGGCGACTTCCATTGTTAAAAAGCGTCCTTACAGTTCCGTCCCGAATTCATCACCGCGCAATGGGGGAGATACAAAAGCTCTCACTGAAGGAAGCTTGCTTTTTCGAAGTAGCCATCCTTCTTCCAAGAAGAAAAAGCACAAAAGGGATAACGGCGCCCCAAGCTCAGTCTCCGTCGCCGATTGGACCGTCGGTGTCATCCAGCGGACGCTTTTGGGGATGATGCGTCATTTTCTTACACTTGGAGACGGCGTTGGTCGACGGGGTTTTCGACGTTGCAGACGCTGGTAACGCAGACGCTAGTTTTCCGACTGCACTCACGATTTCTGGGACATCGTCAAATGCAACGGTTGCCTGCATTTTTGAAGCTATGTCNTCCGACGTCAACACTTCCTCAAGCACCATAGATCTGCTACATTCAGATATTCCAGGGCTAGAAGATGCTGTTGAGGTGTTGGAGGTACGGCATTATTTTCCTACGACAGTATACGCGATGGTGGACGGACTTCTCGGCGATAAATTTTTTGTCAGCTCAAAGACTTAGGGGATTGTATGGTCACGCATTTCTAAGATTTTGTGCAGCCTGATCAATCACACCTCTCAATACAGTACTTTGCCTGTTCGAAGATCAAAAAATAACCGATTAAGAAATACTGTACGTCAAGTTTGTGCTCGGTATCTCAAATATCGGCATAGTTCGATCGTCAGTTTCTGATTTCGTAATCTTGGAACTGGTAGGTCGATTTCATTGTGAACATAATCTGAAAATCTTCAATCTTATAGGTGGCTGCCAGCTGTCCTGTGACCCAAGAGCAGTACAAGTTCTCCAGAAATCTATGGCCCACTAATTTCCACGAAAATCAGTACATCGAGAAGCTTTTAACATGCAATGTCTTCAGTACTTCAGACCAGTCGGCAATTCGTGAAGCTACGTGTCGCTTAGAAGACCTGAAGACCTCAATCTCCGCTATCATAATTAACCCGGTAGATGGAAAAGTCATGGGTGAAGGAATGGACCGGAGAGATGGTCATCCATTACATCACGCAGTCATGGCCGCACTCGATGAAGTATCAAACAAACAACGCGAGTTTCCCGATGAAAGTTATTTGTGCACAGGATTTGATGCCTTCATGCGTGAAGAACCTTGCATCATGTGTGCAATGGCACTTTTACACTCTAGAATCAGAAGAGTCTTCTACCGAAATGCTAAACCAAATGGTGCCCTGGGGTCGTTATGCAAATTGAATTGTTTCAAAGTTATGAACCATTCATTCGAAGTATTCCATGGATTTCCTGTATTTGAATAAATATTTTTTACTTTCTAGTTCTCATAGTTATATTTTGTGCGACTTGGCTGAGGAATCAGAAAACAGCCCTAAGTTCTTGGAGCATGGAGAAGGTAAAATTCTTGGGACTTGATCTACTCAGCGCCCCAAAAAATAAAACAATCTTGGTATTCTCAGAGACAATTAATAATTAGGATGCAATATCCCTCCCAGCCGATGAATCTTGCCCAATTGCATGTCAAAAATGCTAGTGATTTAGTGAGATTGCGCATAGTTAAAAAAGTACCACCCATCCTAATTCATTCGTCGAGCAACCGCTAATGTTGGGAAGATGCCGAAGTTATCGCATTCTCTCATAGGGTTCCACCTACCTCAACCACAGCGTTCATGATCTCAAGTTCTAAAATTTTCATTTAATCGCTATTTGAGACAGGGAAAGGAAAACATTAAACTCTAATTTCAGTTTGGAACAGATGAGATTTCGAGATTCACTTTGGCATCAACGCATCCTGAGCTCAGCCTTCATTTCCGTTAATTTCACACAATGCACGAAGCGAAAAAAAAAAAGCGTCAGAAGGATCACTCTCAACGGAACTAATGAACCAATCAAATATAACTCCGAAGACGAAAAAACACCACCTTTGCAGAGCACGTGATCACTGTCAATGAACAACGTTGCTGACTCTCGTAAAACAATCGCCAACAAGCCACCTGAACAAAACCTTTGCACAGCTTAACCACAAACAGCCCGTGAAATATCGCGCAAGATGGATCACTCGAATTTTTCCAAATAAATATCAAAAAGCAAGGCCAGTAGACTAAACAAAACTCAGTTGATCACATCTTTCTTCCAGCCGCAAAAAAAAGGACGCCGGAGCTCTCCTCTCATCTTCCCTTAAAGAATATCCTGCCACAGACAACAAGATGGCGACTTCCATTGTTAAAAAGCGTCCTTACAGTTCCGTCCCGAATTCATCACCGCGCAATGGGGGAGATACAAAAGCTCTCACTGAAGGAAGCTTGCTTTTTCGAAGTAGCCATCCTTCTTCCAAGAAGAAAAAGCACAAAAGGGATAACGGCGCCCCAAGCTCAGTCTCCGTCGCCGATTGGACCGTCGGTGTCATCCAGCGGACGCTTTTGGGGATGATGCGTCATTTTCTTACACTTGGAGACGGCGTTGGTCGACGGGGTTTTCGACGTTGCAGACGCTGGTAACGCAGACGCTAGTTTTCCGACTGCACTCACGATTTCTGGGACATCGTCAAATGCAACGGTTGCCTGCATTTTTGAAGCTATGTCTGTGAGATGAAGGCTGATCTCTGCATCAGCGGGATCTTGAAAATTGAAAAACAAGATTGAGTAGTGACAAGATTCCACGCGATGTCTCATGTCTGCCTGCATTTCGTGAACATTCTTACCTTTCATCTCGATCAAGCAGCGAGTCATGATCCCCAGGGACTTCACTTGCATTGTTGTATAGCTCTTGTGTACTGGGAACAAATGGAAAGAGACATTTGAATACTTGCCCGTCATAACAGAAAGTTCTCCAAGTAAAACTTTTCTGAGAAATATCCTACAAACACAGTCCTATCAATAATGAGGCTTACAAGGCATTTGCCGATTTAGTTTATTTTAGATTAGATAGAATTACATCCTTGACATGGCGCTCTTATTCCTCAATACTTAAATTTTAGGAAATATCCAACATCTCAAACACAACCATTGCCACGACCAGAGAATATTTTAAAATGAAACATAGTCTACAGATCTGAGGTATCGTATACCACGAAGATTACTCATGAAGATTAACAGACGCTTCAAGTAAAACCTGAGACTGTAAAAAAGCACATAAAAAATTAAAGCATGTTACTCGACCATAATGTACCATATGTGCTTTAAATGTCTCTCCATTCAAACGTAGGTAAGCGAAACTTGAGTACAAGTGATAGATTATTAATACAGTAGAGTGAGTAGAGAGTAATGGTGATCCGGATAATGGATGCCTCGAAGACGGAACTCCGGTTGCCACAATTTAAAGTGATGGTTAGTTGGGAATGCGTTGGCTAGAAGTGCATTAAAATTATCTTTTCTAATCGGGATTCGTAAGAGATTCACTAATACTGTATAACATAAGTTTCTGAACATAAGCATTTTATAGTCTTGATCGCATTGATTTTTCTTCTCAAATTGTTCATGCGCATTTTGGCATTAAAAAGAATATCCCAGAAGATAAGAAGGGATTTTTCGAGGTTCATTGACTTCTGCAATTGTCCTTACCGATGACGTGACGACAAAACTGGGCAGCCAGGTGCAGGACCTTGCCAAACGCATCCTTGCCGACGCCAGCTATGCTGAAGGCTCCGCGTTCCTCAAAGGCGTCATTAAAAATGACTTCCATGCAGGATGTCATGGCCGCCATGACGGGCACCGTGGACGACGTTACCCTGTCGACCAGCGTGTCCAGCATCGGCATGAGTCGCTTCACGTCCCGCGGTCCATAGGGCCACGCTAACCGCAACGCCGACCAGGCCGCTTCCTGCACGCACTCAACGCCACGTGCGCTGTCCGAGGAATCGAGCGCTGCGTAAAAGCGTTTCAGGTCAATGAGAACACAGAATTGGAATGGTGCTCGATGACTATTCAGCAATAGCACATAAAACACTTATTTTCGAAAAACAAAAAATGCGTACGGGAACGAAGGCGACTATAATTATATGGCAGCCGGGATTTGGAATTACCTGTAATTTCATCGATTTCAATAGAATCTGCCGGATTACAATTGTTTAGAAGTTAGTTCAATTATTTCTCAACATCCCTAACACATCAAGAATACAAATCCTGCTGCGAATTTGGTGAATAAGAGAAAGAAAATTCGCTTATGATCGCAGCAGGAGCAAAATCAAAAGACTCCACCAATTCCAAAGAAATTGGATGAAACAAATCACTAGTTGGAAAAATTTTAATTTTTAAGGCAGATTAAAAGAAAGAATACAAGAGATGGTACATCTAATTCTCAAGTAAACACGATAAATACCGTGAGTCCAAAATGCAGTCAGGAATGCCTCATAAATTTCGGGCATTAATATGGGAGAATATGAAGGATAAAACTCTGACTGGGGTAGTCAAGGATACCAAATACGCCAGATTTTATTCAGAAAGTTATACATGAATGGCCTTCGCAACGTCTCACGGGTCTACTAAAAAAGCAGCACTAAACAAAAAGCGATGACCACAATCTCCTCGAATAACTCACTCGTGTTCGACGTGGACTGCGGCTCCATCACAGCCGGTAGCACGAGGTCCCACAGCTCATCGAAACGGTCCAGCTGCAGGAGATCTATCAAGATGCCCGCCACAGCAATAGCTTCCCGTCGGTAGGACATACACGTCTTGATCCTCTTCATTTCCATCAAAACCAGGTCAACGCTTTTCTCTCCCAAATCCGTATTACAGCTTATCACGAGACTACAAAGAATACAAGGAATTCATTTAACCCTGGGTATAATATAGCTCGGAATACTAGTTTTATAAAAATTAAAAATGAGAACAGTTGGGTTTTCCTTTTTCAAGGAGAGGGAAAGTTCTGGCTTATTCAGGAAGGATTTCCATTCGGCAGAAATAAGTTTTTTTTTTAATTCAATTAAATACATGGATAATTGAGTTACTGCAGCATTTTCGAAGCAGATCAGTGATGGCAAAATCATATCACGAGAAAACAGGGGAAATGCGGATATGAATTTTCAGCAATACTTGCTTCACGAGGAGCAAAAATAACTGTTCATTTTCAAACACATCTCGGGTAAATGGTCACGACTTATTTCAAGAAAGGCGATACATGAAAATACAATAGCTTTACCATCATTTGATCTGATTGCAACACGGTATTTCCTGAACACAAAGAATGAAAGCAGAAAAAAATCGAAAAAACTCACGCGCCGTGATGAGCAACAGCAGCCAAGGCTTGGAGCATAATTTCTTTACCCGGCCAAAATTTACCATCGATTTCATCATTCAGGACTTGAGTAAAATAGCATAACGTAAGTGGATCCAGATCCTGCCCCGCTTTCTCGGCGATGCTGATGATCATGAGTCCAGTCTGCAAAAGCACGGGCGAGAAATATTTCAGAAGTCAGAAACAAAAACAGCTCGGAATGGAACTATTTCACAACAATTTTCTTCTGAGATAACATTTTACCAAGAGGACTGCCCAACAAGTTCAAAATGCATAAGCCGCGCAAGTACTGTTACATTTTTCATACTTAATTCGATTTTACGAAGGCACCTTTTCAAAAATTTCTTGGTTAGCCCTGTGAATTTCGCAAACATTATTTTGAATATGCTTCTCTCAATCCGAAAGCTATTGGATGTTCAGTGTAGCCTCGCCCTTGCGAAGAAAATTTGTAGTTGAACGAAACAAGGCAGTTCAAAATTCAAAATTGGTAAAATAAATTTCCTCAATAGGGGAATGAGAGAAGAAACACAAAAATGCAGATGTCAGAAACAATCATGGAACCTTTTACTGACGCTTGATTGACCAAGGGAGATCTTCATGATTCATATCGCATCGAAACGGGAAATCCTGACAGAAACACTGGGCTTGAAAAGCAATTTGACACTTGCATAGAAAAATATTACAGAAACCCGAAGTGCCTTTCCGCTAAAATACTTTCCATGGACGTAAACCAGCAGGAAATGGTAAAAAAAAAAAAAAAAAAAAAACCTCGTATGCACAAGGAAAAACTGATCTTACNAGAAGAAAAAAAAAAAAAAAAAAAAAAAAAAAAAAACCTCGTATGCACAAGGAAAAACTGATCTTACCTGTACTTTCTTCAAATTTGACTTCGAATTCAACCCAGCTTCCACGAGACCGATGATGCCGTTTAAATGTAGCAAAATGGCTTCGCTTTCATTGCTCGCCCCTTCGTTCCACACCTCAGCCCACACCCGGGAACTGGTCTCGGTCGCCGAATCCTCCATTCGATTCTCTGAAGAAAGAAAAATAGATGAAAGCCGTGCATTTTCAGTCGCCGCGAAAAAAAGACTTCGAACATTTTTCTAAAATACTGTACAGTATAAAAATTCACCTTTCAACGGGGGCCGATGCATCGCGAAAAAGGCTAGTGGCATGGACCAATACACATGATAAGCGGCGACCTTTGGGCTGTTCCTCCAAACAGATCGCACGGTAATACTGCAAATAAGGTGCGATTCTTCGTCTTCTCGCAAATGACCGTTGAAAAAATCAGAATTAGATGAGGCAGTACGTATGTATGAAAAAACGGGAGGGTTTTATCAAAAGTTTTGCCCGTCACCAGGAAGGAACGCGAGGGAATATTTAGGAATATATTGGGAATATTGAGAGTTCCCGGTTCCATTCTTAACTCTTCAATGAATATCAGTATTGCATGAATATAAGTAAAGTATTATTAATTTTTCCCCACGTTCGTCGCAATAAAAGGAAGAGGCGCTTTGAAAGTACAACCATTCTTCTTGTAAAAGAGCACTAAACTGAAAAAGCATTTCCTAAAAACTTTTCTTTTGAAAAAAAATGAAAAAATAAAATTAGGGATGATGCTACAGAGTTTACTTGAAAAATTTCATCAGCCATACCAAGAAACGGGACGTTACAAATCGCAGCGAGTCCAATAGAAAGCCTTGCGGTAAGTCACGTGAGTGAAAACATTTGTTCCGAGCACAAAATATTCCTACTTAAAATTATTTCTAGTTTCTGATCAGGCAAACTTTTTGAGCCAACCCACTGAAAATTGCTTTTAAAAAACCTACCGTCTTTGTCCAAATACCAAACTTGCAATTTATCCCCCAGCTTCTGCAGCAAAGTAATTTTGGCGACTCCCATGAGAAATCCGATAGCATTTGCATAGTTCTTGCGGACTAGAATATTCCGGTCGTTCAAGTTTCCGACCAACGCTGCCAGCAACTTTCCCGAATACGGCTGCAACAGCTGTTGAGGGGAGGAAAGCGTAAAAGGATTCCTTGGGAATGGCGCAGTCGCTGGAACTAATGGACACGAATGAATCACCTGCCCGTGGCAATGAACGAGCTGAGTAACAACGTGCGCGCATCCCGCCTTGGTGACCAAGGAACTGGAGGTCTTCATCAAGTCGATCAACGCAGGCACAAGTTCTTTCAAAGAGTTCTCATCAACCAGGGACGTCAACTGTAACAATTCAAAGAGTGGAGTGGAATATTGTGCATTAGAATCTCGTTACAACGAACCGTTCGGCTGTGTAACGGCTGTGAAATTTCAGAAATAATTCATCAAATATTAGGTTGGATTACGTTTAGTTAATGGCGGAGTCGCTTAGATGCTGATTCAGAGAACAAATAAAAGACATTCCAGCAAAATATGCAGGATTTTTCTCCGTTCATCTCATTAGAGGAGTGAAAAATGGAAGGATGGCGTAAATCATTAAACAATGCTCAATGAAAAATAATGAATTTGCGAATTAAGAAAAAGCAGATATGCTCTTGAAGATCAAACGCAGCAGTACATACAGGTCTACACTTGATAGGTTTGCATCTAGAATTGTCAACCCGGCTTTCTGAAGAATAACTTATAATAATTATAGTAGATTAAAAAATTAATCTAAAAAACCACATTTTTCAAGTAAGACTAAAAAGTACAAAAAAATTTAGTAGATTAAAAAATAAAACTAAAAAACCACGTTTTCAAAAAGCAGGGAAGTGAGCAAAATTTGAGTTGCAAAATTTGATCCAGACAAACAAACGGACAAGAAAGCGAATTAATAAAAACGTGTTAATTAATAAAATAAAATACTATTAAAAAAGAGGATTTTCCCTCTGTTTTAGTACCTTCTTTATGCTTTCCATTGCAGGTGAGAAGTGCAAGGAAGCAAGCCGCATCCGGGCGTAGGTTTCTTGCAACGCTGGCTCCGCACCTTCGCCCATGGTGGCAGAAAGCTGGTTTATGAACTCCGGTTCCGTTTCACCTCGGTACTTCAACAGGGCCGGGATCAATACGTGAACCTGAGACTTGAGGGCGGGGAACCGGGATTCTGTGCAGAACTCGTGGATGCACTTCATGCTAGAAGGGATGAGGGAGAGGGGTCATGTCTACACTGCCTTAATACGATGCCACGTGTTTTGAGAGACACAGCTTCAATCTGATGAATACAGTGGGGCCCCTACATAAGGAAACTAATCCGTTCCTGGAAGTGTTCAGTTGTACGGAATTTTTGTGATTCAAAATTCGATTTTCCTTAAGGTTGCATCATAAATTGTTCAATTCGTTCCAGAAACTGAAAAGCCATAACAAATTATAAACAGTTAATTTTCCTTATTTTTAATCGTCAATTCGAAATATATTAGTATGAAATTCAAGTAATCCTGATGGATTGTGAGGTATGAACTCTCTGAATTTCACAAATTAAAAGGCAAGAAGACGCAAAAATATTTTTTTTCTTTTTAATTTCAACATTAAAATACAACTGTAAGTTCTGGTCGAAGAAGTTTTTTAAAATGCGAGCTTTTTAACGTCATAACCTTTTTTTCCGTGAAACAATTTCGCTGTGAGAGTCATATTAAATTTTGTTACGCGACTTTTTTACGCGCGGGTCTTTCGCTAAACAGGGACTCAATTCAAAGTAAAATCTTGTGATTACGAACATCCTCATCAAGAACCCTTTTTAAAAAAAAGCATTTCTTCAAAGAACAAGAAGTCTAAGTCAACATATCTGGGGTCGCTTAGCCATAATGCACATTATGTATAACGAATTTTTGTAACAACTGTGGTTTTTCCTGCTTTCAAATTCTTTGTTGCAACGAGATTTTACTGTAGTGTATTTCTTTATTTCGCCTGCCCTTTCGTAAAAGGGGAAAATAATCTTCGTTCAAAATTTAATCAAAGATTCAATAATTCCTCAGTTTACTTCCAACCCCCCTTGCAACAATTTAGCATTTCACGAGGATTTCCGAACGTATCGAATCCAATTCAATGATTTGGGATCGGGACACATTTTATTTGAGAAATTTACCTCGTTCAGATTTATCATTTATCAATATTTTGGCTAAAAGACTTGCCATCATCGGGATGATTGTAGAAAATTAAGCAAACAAAGCAAGAATTCAAAGCGTGACTTTTCACCTGCACAATCTGGCCTCAGGCACAGAGCTGGTGAGTCCAACGTTCACCAGGGCAGGAACAGCGAGCTCAATGAGCTGATCCGCCTGCAAGCACGTTGTCATGGCTGCCACAAGGAATCCCTTTCGAAACGCCTCCAGGGCATGCTCGCCCGCCTTCCTCACCGACTCTTGCTCGTCTCCGATATTCACCAACAGCGCCGTCCACAGCCTACCAATGGCATCTTGCGACAACTGCTGGTCGCTCGGAGTAAAGGTCCACTTGGACGCGGTCCGTTTCGGAGTCGTCGGAGGAGCATTGAAAGGACTAGAGTTATTGGAATCGTTATCACAAATGACGGGTTTGGAGTGTCCTTCAGGACAAGGCACGTGTTTGAGGAGGAGGAGATGGCCGCAGCCGGTCATGATCTCCGATACGGCATCACAGCACGATTCCCTGACTCGCCACTCGCTGTGGTTCAGGCCAATGATCAACTCCTCGATGATTGGCACGAACATACTATAGATCTGACGAACAAAACCAATCGCAAGTTTTAAATTGACATTTTCCGGAATTACGGGTTGACACAAATTTCGATTGAGTTGGAACCTTTCGCGGACTCAAAAAATAAAATACAGCAAAGGGGGTTTAGGAAAATTGATGGGAAGTAGGAAATTCGAAATTCGTGCCATAAAAATTGCATACTCCAGCCAATACTCCAACAAATTGTCACGCGTCAATTAAAATTACATCTTTTCTGGTAAGGGTAGATGTCACCCGCAGTTACAATTTCGCAAAATAAGAACAGGCAACCTATTTTCTGTTGCTAATGTACAACAATTTTCCTTGATTTCTCAGCCGTCCTGGCAAAAAAATCGAAGGAAAGCTTTGAAAAATTCTCAAATCATCTTGAAACTTCACTCGAAGTGATGAAAATGTGCGATTTATATGGCTGTTACGGAATACAGTGATTTGAAAGAAATTACTGTAGAAGTGTAGAACAATCATTTTACAATCTTCGACTCTTTGGGCTTTTATATAATAGTGCCGCCAGTGGCAACCTCCTTATTGGGCTTTCTTTTTTCGTTCATGCAAACATAGCAATCCACGTTGAAGGGATTTCAAAACTTTCATTCAGGATTTATTTTTTTAACGTAATCGCTTCTTTGAACTCGGGATATACACACCTATAGAAAACGCAAATCTGTGTGCACTTCTGCCTGTGTGTGTTTTTTTTCTACGAAACATAAAGAATCCTGGCTTTTCAACTGAACAGCAACTTAACGGACATTCTAGAAAATCTAGAATATTGACCCTAACCTACTTCAGACCATTCAAAAAAATAGGGGGAGATGGTCAAGGATGACATACAGACACTTCACAGAACAAAGAAATGACGATGAGCTCACCACGTTGGTATTGAGCAATAAAGTCTTCCAAATAATATCCATGGCCGCCTTGACCTCGGCATTTGGATCGAACCGGGCTCGGAACAGCTTTGGGACTAGAGAACAAATTTCCGATTTCAAGGCGTTCGCAGCCGTTGAGCTAGAAGGTACAACCATCAGCTGAACGCGGTCCTTCTGCGAAAGAAAACAATGAACTGTAGCCAAGTTGTGGGAAATGGTAATCCAAGAAACGGCGAAATTTTACGAACCTTCAGCGACTCCTGAAGCTCTTGCAGACAAAAGATATCAAGCATCTTGTAGGCAACGTCGGGTTTCTTCAAATCCAAGGCAAACTCACAGAACTCCTTCAATAACATGAGTTTGCCACTGAAAAATTAGAGCATTAAAAAGCACTTAACGCACTGACATGGAACTTAATTAATTGAGCTTTTGATAAAATTCCTGTAAAATCCTCGGGGGTTGGTTTCGCACGAACATTATCTCCAAAAATCTAGGATGAAATGCAAATTTCCGAAAAATATCACATTTTTCCGACCCTCAACTGCAACTCCGAGACTGAAACGGAATCTTGATGCAAAAATAGGAGAAACTAACGAACCTCTCACTGGTAACTTCTTTCATTTTCACTCCGGTTACTTCCTTGGTTCCCGAAGAAATTCTAAAATATTCCAGTAAGCCATCGAAGACAGCTTTCGTAGCGTTCCCAGTGCTTGCGTAAAAAACCATGACGATTGCTTTCAACGCCAGATCTTGAATTATATCTGCAGAGGTTTTTCAGATGTTAGCGATACAACAAGGAACATAGCTTTGAAATTTTCCCACAGGGCGTAAGATTTTAATGAATAGAAAGAAGGTTAACGATAGATAAAATTAAAATCTATGAAAATATATACAGTAATACTGTACTGTATATCCGAGGCCTTCGCGCACACATTTTGCTTCGATTCTTTGAATAATCTGGTTGCGTAACCACTTCGTAAATAAATTCTCGGACATTAAAGTAACCAAGTACTATTCTTCCAAATGCAATTCAATTTGGCCCCTTTTTTAGCGTTTTATTCTAGCAATCAAACTCAATCTTCAATCAAGATTTTGCATCAAGGTCTAAGTTCAAGCTTTGGTTTCAGTTTTTGCCCCGTTTCCAAAGCGTGAAATCAGCGAAAGGTAACTATCAACATGTCAACACCTTGAACAGATTTGTCCAAAAATATGCAGACATTACAAATTATTTCAGCGACTTTCGGATAAATATTGAAAATTGAACTCATTTAGAAAAAAAATATGGAGAGGGGGATTTATTTTTATAACAATTACCAGAGATTATTGATTACTATTAGGACAATAAAAACGAGAAGTAAGTCACAATTTCGGCATAAAATAATCCTCCCCCATTATCCAGATACCAAGCGTCCTAGTTTTAAGACGATAACATACGGTATGTTAAATATTTTCGAATCATGCAAAAAACAGTTTTGGTTATTCAGTTTTCCCGATTCTTTCCTTCATTTTACTTCATGACACCCTCATTTGACAGACATTTTTCACTAGCATGTTCATGACTAGCAGGATCATTGATATTTTTTCGATTTTATACGTGCATAGATTTTTTTTAAAATCGTAGATAAAATATATTCGCGGCGTCATTCTCCCATTTAAACCTGGAATTGAAACTTTACTCACCAGGAACATCGGCTATGAAATCAATTAGAGCTCGCTGCACTCTAACCAGCCTATCTTGCAATGCCTGCTGATTGCTACACTCGATCAGCAAAGAGAAGAGGAACACGCAATGCGCCTGTCGAATCGCACTATTTCTCGACTCCACAAGCATTTGCTCCAATAGCCATTTGAAGTCTTCGCTGCTCTTGAGCAACTTTCCGGGAGCCGGGTTTTGGAGCGTCGTCACCCAGGCATCGTTCACGACAGAACCACTCGACTTGACACCAGCGAATGACAGACATTTCCCCATAGCCAACAACAGCTCGACTTCCTTGACTTGCGATGCCATTTTCAGCACAGCCTTCATGATGTATCGCACGTGCGGGAACTGTGGGTCGCCCATGCAGACGAGTCCGGAACAAATCGCACTTTTCGCTCGCGTCTATAAAACGAATCCAATAGCACATTTTTAGAAAAAATAAAAAATTTCCAAAGACCGTAATTTACCCGAGTACCAAACGAACCTTTTTTCAGCAAAATCATGGCAAAAAGATGCGTGTAGTATGCGGGTATACATTTTTCGAAGTTAACAAAATTAAAAATCATGAATCCAGTGGAGAAAACTGAGAGTCTCTGCAGGTAAAGATAATTAAAGAGAACATATATTGGCCACCAATTTCTAAAATTCTTCCATTTTATATTTATTTAAGAGTTCATTTTGTTCAACATTATTATTTGGAAAATATTAAATTTTGAACCCAAAATATAGGGAGGCGCATCTTATGTGGGAATATATTTCTGGACAAATTCCACACCAGAAAGACCAAGGTGCGCGCCTTCCCACTAAATTACGGTATCTTTGGACCTAAATGAAACAATCAACTTCGTACAACTCGCGAAATGTTGATCGTGAACGTTACTTCGAGTCAACAACAACAAAAAACGCAACTTCAAACCTCTCTACTTCAACCTGTGTCGGCAAGGACGAGAAATCAAGTCGGGGATTTAATATTCAAGTTAGTTTAATTTATTTACCGTTTTGATGTCAGCAAGGCTAGCGATTATGCATTTTTCAATCAACACGTGCGTAAAAATGTTGCTGTCTTGCTAGAATTTGCAAATCAAGATAATGAACGGAACCTACTTGGACAGGTAGGCTGGAGTCTCCCGTGATCTCCAATAGTCTATCAACAACAGTCTTGACAGAGGGACTGTCTTCGTCCGAACCATTATCTAGGCCACCACCGTTGGTAGTTCTTTTGCTTTCCAATCCCGATTCACCCTCAGTTTGCAGAGACAAGGGACCACGACGACCGATCTCCCCAAGAGCTACGCAGGCGCCAGCAACTAGGACGATTCGGTTTCGATTTCGGTACAGAAAAATCCCTGTTGAAAGGATGAATACATTTCAGACGGCTATCCAATACTTTTGAAATTCTTTCTGACATCAAAAATGATGCAACCACTGAGAAAGTAAAAGGAAACGGTACACAGGATATCAGTGATGAAACAATGTCCGTCACGAACATATTGTCATAGCGTGAGTAAATGTCACTGCAATTCATCAAAATTTCATTTACTGTTTATCACTCAGCGATGCATGCCAACTTCTATTTCTGGGAACCTATTTTTAAGAAATCAGAAGGATGCAACCACTGAGAAAGTAAACGGTACACAGGATATTGGTGTTGAAACAATATTCGTCACAAAAATATTGTCATAGCGTGCGTAGATGTCACTGCTAGTCATCGAAATTTCATTTACTGTATGTCACTTAGCGATGCATGCCAACTTCTAATTCTGGGAACCTATATTTGAAGTTCATGCACAGCTTTACGAAAACAAAAAGGGTTGACTGAGTTAGGCAGATCTTATTTTAAATCATCGGTATATGGCACTGCTTTCAGAAAAATTGAAAAACCTGCTCGACGCGAACTTCGTCACCGCACGATAACATTTTCCGAAGCCATACAAGGACATACCTTATCCTTGAAATGCTTCCTTTCAGAGTATCGTTGAAATGACGAGATTTTTCGATAGTTATGTTTAATATTTAAAAAATTGTTGACGTGTATTGAACTATATTGAGAACCTAAAAGCAGAAGAGAATACAGTCAAACTTACCCAACAAACTAGTGAATTGCTGGACGATAACAGAGCTTTCAATTTCCGCAAGATTCATTTGTGGTAACCAGGTCTTCCAGCAATCCTTCGAATCCTTGGTGTGTTTCTTCTTCTTTCCTTTGACAACCACGCCAACAACACTGGCATCAGTCTTGCAACCAAACTTCCCCATCCTCTCGATCAAGTCGACGGTCCACGGGGAATTCGCACAAATGCGCGAGATCTCTCCTGTTTGAATCCCTTTGAAGATGGAGTGACGGTTGCCGACAGCGTAACCAAATACAAGATGGCAAATGTGCTGATTACTCGATTCCTGAAAGTCAATTGAATTACGTTTTGAATGCGACATCGAAGAGGCAAAATTTTACTGTAAAAAATGTAACAAATTTACGGCACTCACTTCTGCAACTCAAAAATTAAGACAAAGTGGTAACATAAGGATTCTTAGATTATTCACCGTAGGATGATCTCACCCAAAACTTCGCTCGTTTCTTACCCAGAATTTTGCCAATGCCTGAGCTAACAGGACTTTCAGGAAGGCGAAAAAGGCTTTATCATCCATTCCAAAAGCAGCGATGAGCCCCAGAATTTGACACGCAGCATTTCGGACGACATATTTCTTCGTATCCAAGAAACGCTGGATACACCTTCACATTAACAATGAATTCCATGACCACGTCAATGCAAACAAACCTTGTAAAATTCAACTTCTCCGAGGAATACGCTGTTGGGAATCACGAACTCAGGAACCGCAGCGAAAATCTCCAGCAGGAGGACAACAGGATTTGTCACTGTAATGAAAATCAAAAGTACAACGAATCACAACATGTTCAATAAGACGCACAAGAAATATCAGCATTCCCAGAAGAGAATATCGTTTTAAAAAATTCAAGATAAATTTCAGCAGTTCTAAAATTGAACAGAAGTGATACTTAAATTTACAAAGTTGAAGTCTGATTAATTCGAATAAATTCGCCTCTCGCTTCTCACCATCACTGTTCTCCGAAACACATCTGGCAACTGCACTGTGGAGAATCGCAGCGTAGCTTGCAAGCGAATCCAACTTTGTCCGTTCGTCAATATCCCATTTCGTCACCAAAAACTTCCGCAGCGCGCGAATATCAGTGTCTCCAGGTGAATATCCGAGGCCAGCTTCGAATCCGAGACAGGCTCTCAAATACGCACTTATGGCTAAAATCCCAATATGCGACGTTTTCCACCACGGCTGTCCGAAAGTAATACTGTTTGTTTCGTGGACTTCAAACTCGAGCTCCGTAATGAGCAGATGAAACGCCGGATATGTGGCACACGGCCCAATCTTCGAAGAAAACTGAACGTCCTTCGTAAGGCCTTCACCTTTCGCTTCCAGGGACAAGAAAGTCAGCGCTATTTCTTCCACTTGCGGTTCATCAGAACTGTGAAAATCATAATTTCAAGATGATCAAACTGCTCTGAGTTCTTGAACAAATTCGAGTGTGCAACAGAAATATGTCATGCAAAAAAACGCGGGCTCCAAAGAGAAATGGAAAATTGGAATGTCTAACAAATGTCAATAACGCAAACTCATGTATCCTACCCTTAACCTTTGCAAAAGAAAAGTTGTCACACATCATAAGTCTCAAAAAGCATGGGCATAAAAAATAAGAATAAACAAAGGCTCGCTTAGAGCTCGAGCAAAAAATAGTGATACCTGGTTTTTATTTTGCACTTGCTATTATAATACATGTTCTCCTGCCGAGCAACTACGAGAGATCTATTCAAGTCGATTAGTTTTCAAGATGAATCTCAATTTCAAGTGCAGTAGAAGCAAATCAAAAAGTCCCGCATTAAATTGTTTAAAAACATTCCCCGAGAAAAAAGGAAGTAATATTCGAGTCCCTCTTGAATCTCACCTAAATGCAGCAGCGTGAAGAAGCAGATGAGCGAGTTCAACGCTACTTGGCGGAAAAACGGCACTGACAAGATTCACAGCAATTTTTCGGCGAATGGAAAACGCGGGATCGCTAGCACTCCAGAAAAATCGTTTCACAATCCCTTGGACAAGGCCACGTTTCTTGATCAACTCGTCGGAGTCGACAGAGCCGTAGAACTTCTGCAGCGCAATGCCAACATCAAGCATGCAGCACTCGACGTATGGTTCCACTTCCGCTTCTTCTCTCAGAATGTCAACAAGCAGCCTTCGTAGATAATTCGGATCTTCGATGAGGAGGCAGTGATTTTTCCGACTCAGTTTTCCCACCGCTACGTAAAGCAAACTTCGAAGCTTCGTGCTCTAAAAGAATCAACACGAATTGTTTCTAAATCGCACTCTTTCCAAGATATTTTCTCAGCGCTTCGTTAACTTTTTGTGTTATCACAAAAAATAAATTATAATTCGAAGAATATCGTTAAGCTTGTTCGACAGTAGCTCTCTTCGTTCAAACCCTACTAGGTGAATAACTTTCACTAATGCTAGAATGGTTCACAGTTGTCGCCTCGATTTACTCACATTCCATGAAGCAAGATTTTGATCACTTTACACGTCCAATTAATTTTAGACAATTCAATTTAATGTAGGTGAGTATTTTGTAGGTCGGATAGTAATACACTAGAATTTTTTTTTCGATTAGTTCGATAACTTTTTCTTGGTCAGGTTAAAAAACTTCTTGAAATCAGGAGTCGAGCCTCAGAAAGTGAAGCGCTCATTCCCGTCGTCTTATTTTTTATATACTGTACTTATACGGTACTCTACACCTGAAAAGATAGAAAGGAGATACGAATTTTAACGTCTGCTTTTCAGGTTTAACACAAACTTGTAAATCAGAAGTCAAAAATTTTGTCCATGCGCTTTAAACCCGAAGTAGGACCCTTTTTGTAAGAAAATCCGCTGCAAAGATTTATGGTCCACCTTTCATTCGATGGCGCCTTACATTCGCAAGTGAACCATTGCTTTTGACCAATGAAATAATTTCAATAAAAATAAATTGACATCGAATTAATCAAACCTTCGGAATCATTTTTCTTTAAAACTTATCAAGTAGGGATCCGAATCTTTGAGGAGACTGATCTGGTACTTAGAGCCTTGAAAGCAGCAACATGATAAATTTATTCCTTCAAAAATCAAATTCAAGAAGTATGCGTCTTTTACTTGCAAGTAAGACGGATTCGATCTGTAAGGCACAACAAATAAAAAATTACGTCACATAATCCACGGGGTATTCTTTCGTTAGTAAATGATTCTAAAACCTCTTGATGTTCCCGAAATGCACGAGTGAACTGGTCCTAGAAAATAATCGGTATTCAATTCGGAATAAAGAAATGGATGGACTGACCTCCAAGTTTTCCTCAAGAAGCTTCAAAGCAGCATCCAACAATACTTTGCCAACCGGTTTTATGTACTCCTCGGGGCAACTGTAGCAATGAAAAAATGCCCTTCGTTTACTGCGATGACAGTTCATGTACATGATTAAGCCAGTACTCACTACTGGATGACGTGATAGACGAACTGCATCGTCATCTGACACAGACCAGTGGCCAATGTTTGAAACCCAAAGAAGCTCTCGATAGGAACGTAGAGATTATCCGGAAAAATCGTAGCACTAAGCGGAGATTTCAGTAGGTACGGTAGTATTTTCAATCTCACACGAGCAGCTGACGGTAACCGTCGCAATTCGAGTCTCAGTGTCGGGGAAGTGGGTAAAGGATATCCGGCGATTTCAGGAACTTGATCGGATGACGGACGTGTGCCGAGGTACAGGTCAAGCAAAGAAGAAACCACTGAGGCTTTTCCCCAATCCACAGATGGCGATATTTTCCTGAGTGCATTCTCGGATTCGTTAACAATTGAATACCGCGTGTCTGCACTGCCTACGATCAAGTGGCAGACCACACTTTCTTCTTTAAATGTCCCACAGGATGTAAAGCGTATTATGCCCAACTTGACCTGAATAAATGCCAGACAAAAAAGTTCAGACACGTGTCCATTCCGACGATAAAAATGTGTGTAAAAATCCAACTTTCAAAAGGAAAAGCCCGAAAATAAATTCGATCGTCCATTGGGATGAATGATTGCATAAAATATCAATTACAGGTGAACTCTCCATCACTATACAGTTATCAAGAGACCAACGAATAATTAGCTGCCGAGAATATCGTAGCAACTGCTGAAGCTTAGAAAGAAGGTCTACTGAAACCAGAAGAAATTCCTTTCAATGGAGGATTTCACTCCGAACATAATCGATGAGTGTCCACGTGAATCTACTTCCATAATTTTAAACAATTGAAAATGTTCAGGAGGGTGAGAAGTTGGTAGTCTTTACGGGAATGATCTGACCACCATTCCTGCTTTACAAAAGCGGTAATATAAAATTGTAAATGCAGGATCCGAATCGAACATGTTGGTGCGCTGGCTCTCAAGAAATCACAATAGCTCAGCACAGTAGAACCATCACTCGAATAATATCCTTCGAAAAAATCCCATTTCAGCACGATTCACAACGAGTGCATACGTTATGTCATGCGTGCATTACTGACCTGTTCGAGCTCATCTTCCGACAACGGATTGTCGCCCGTAGTTCTCTTGAAAGAATAATCGCTCATGCCCATCGGAGCATGGATACGACAACTCGTATTAGTACTAGTTGCTGCATCGCTAGTAGACTGACCATTCCGGTTGCCATTGGAAGATCCAACATTAAGAATTGTCGTGATCGCAGTTCCAATAGGAAGCGTAGCATCAATGGTTACGTTGTGACTAACCGGGAAAAAAGCATATATCATTCTCCAATCCGCGGAAATCAATCAAAAGTTACTTACACCAAAGGAAGTATTAGAACGTCTAACATGAACTTGAGCAGTGAATCTGCTAGAGGCGAGTCCTCGTCGAAAGCGAACATTGTTCGGCATTTATGCGGGTCCGCTGGGAACTTTACATGCTGAAAAATAGGGACTATCACGCGCATGAGACTGTCACAGTGCTGAATCGGCTTGTTATTCAAACAATGTATCAGCGATGGAAGTAGCTCGACTTGCTTTGCAACGTCTAACCGAGGAATCCCCATTTTCAGATAGATGATCGTAAAGTTCTGCAAAAACAATGAAACGTAGATACAGCAGGGAACTTCATGAAGAAGAAGTAACATTACCAAAACAAACGAAGAAGCGGACGGATTTTGATACTGCGATATCAAAGCTTGAACAGGAAGCTGAATGTTGGGATTAGTTTTTAACCGTCGATTCATGTAGACTATCAATTCCATGACTTTCTTCCGCACTCCCTCCTGTTGACTCGAGAGTTCAAGGAGAACGGATGCCAGAGAATGCGAAATGATATCTTGAAACTGCTCGTCATTTTCCGCGGAGCCAACCATGCGAAGAACTCTCGAGTGAAGATCATTAACGTCTACACCTGAACGGAGAGAAGCAAACGTATCACCTACAAGAGGACACGAAAACAACAAATTAACGGGATTCATTGATTCGAAGACAAAACTTTCCTTTTCGTACTTCAAAAGAAAAACATTTTCTCTGAAACCCAAATCCATTCAACTTAATATGAAGAGAAAAAGCTGATCTCACTGCACATCAACCTTCAAACATTAATATTTCTGATTACTAACACCGAAATTTTCTGTTGAACGTTTTTTACTTCAATAACATTTTGTAAGTACTGTACAGTAATCCCTCGTTATAAAAAAAAAACGCCTTTTACGTTTCACGTTTAGTTGACGAATACCCGAACATGAAAAAAGAAGAAAAATAGAAACAAGGCATCACTTTAATGAGGCTCTGCTCAATTGAACTTGAGATTTTATTCGATAAGTTTAATACAGTAAATGCAACACACTACTGAATGGAAGAGGCCAACTGATCATTCACAGATTTTCGTTGAAATAAGCTGTAAAAATGTTTCATCAGAATCAAGGCGCTCTTTCAAAAGTGGAACTCACCGGCTGGAGTTTTTCCACAAGACTTCGACGCTGCACCACAATCTTTGCAGTGAGGAGTATGCGTCTCTGGTAAACGCTCAACGCTCTTCGTGCCCTCCATTTCAATAGCTTTCCGGATCACGATCCGGAAATCTTCTTCGCTGTAGAAGTACGCCGGGATCTAAACCTTAAAAGCTGAACCAGAAAATTGAAATTAGCAAAACACCGGGAAATAAATTCAGAACATGTAGTTTTACAAATACGAACGAATGGACTCACGTTCATTGTATATCAATCAATGGTCGGCATGTTCATTCATTCTCAACTGATCGCCGATAGATATTGTTACGAAAATCAGCTCGATATTTCAAACTTCTGACTAAGAGACATACAACAAACATGTATTACAGGTCAGATATCTCCAGTCGTCTAGTTGAGATGTTTAGTAACGTATTATCTGAATCTTGCGCTATAAGCGTTTAAACGTTATCCGCTCTGACTGAGTCACAAACGGTATATATCAGTAAAAAAATTTCACAGAAACTGTAATGTGCTTCCCACAGGCTTCCGGTCGGGGAGACATACACAACTGAAGATTAGGAGCCGTAACGATCGATTCATAATCATCTACAGATCATTCATCCTGCCCGAGACTCAAATAAACCTTTCCACACATTAATCGCAAGTCTAATAACTGCACGAAAATGTTCCTCACGATTCTAAATAAGTAATCTAATGAATTCTCAGTACTGTCGCAATCGTCTGCTTGTGTCACGGAAGAAAAGAGCCGGCAAAAAAGCACAGAGCAAACTATCATGGCCACTTTCTGCATCACCCGCGAGATATGCATGCTCACAAGCATTCTCTTCAGAACTATTACACAATTACTGTACTGGATGCAGTATTTTACAATATACAGTAACTTTACTGCACTTAGCAAGCTCCTGTGCCCCAGCCGGGTATGCTGAATGTATAGATATAAAGGACAATGCATAGATTTTCGTGACGTTTATAATCAACCAATTATTATATACAGTATTCAGTAAATAAAGAGAGAAATGTCACCATGCATGCAGGATTTGTGATGCTTTTGTTGACTGAAACATAGCAATACATTATAATTTTGTACTCTTTACTACTGTGAGGCTAAAGATTCGATGTATATTGTATATTATACAGTATTGGTGCATATTCCTGTAACTTGGTTTTGGGCCTAAATAAAAACTTTTCTGTTGGTCTTTGACTCTGGGAAATTTTTTCAACCACAAGGGAATGTTTCATTATTATAGCACTTCTTCCTATACATACTTATACATAACCTGAATTCTACCATAATTTTTTACACTTGAATTCAATTCTTCACACCAGTGCTTTCAATCCAATGTATATTTTTCTGCTTTTTTTTTTACATCTGTTCAGTATATAGGGCAGCATATTCACTCAGACAATATGAGCTTTTTTAAAATAACCTATAGTCCTATATGGTCAATTCAATTAACTTGTTGTTCTGCTGTGCCAAGCAAAAAGGCAAAATGATTCAAGCAATCATCAGTTATTATTCTTTCAAGCTGCAGCGTGTATATTTGAACAGCAGCATATAGACTTTAAATTTTTCAGATTCTCTTACATATATTATAGTGGGTTAATTGATGAGACCTTAATAATAGCAATTGACAACTTTAGAATTAACATCAAATGTGTACTTATTGAAAAGTTTAAAAGAAAATGAATATAGATAGATGCCCATTATCCTTTCAAAATGGCCTTCTAATAATACTGGCGCATGTAATAAATAATTTGAAGATCAGTTTCTTGCCGAAGTTAGGGGAATTATATGGGATCAAGCGTTTGTAATTGTGCAAATAAATGAAAAGTCAATACTCATGAATAATAAATTAAAAGTTTCATTCATTTTTCATTTTGTTGATGATGCTTATTTTTGTAGTTTTGTATATACAGTATATATATATTTATATACAGTACACCAGAGTCGTATTTCCAGGACTATACGTACAAAACTTGTTTTTTTTGTGGATTCATGAATAAACAAATTGTTATCCATCATATGGCGCTGGTGAGAAACAATTGGAAAAATTCGCATCAGCAGGTCACAAAAAGGCCATCCTTCATTACCAAGTCCTCATCTGTACAAAATTAAGACGCAGACACGCACAAATCACAATTAAAAATACACACACCATCAGCATCATGCACAATCTGTTCAAGTATAACTAACCAGGGAAGATCACGCGCGTCCTTCGCTTCGAATATTTCTGTCCCTCTGCAACACTGCATCTGCTACCCTTCCCGGGGATAAGATACCTCACGGGGAGTTACACGGTAACATTGCACCACCTCAGAGGGCAAACCAGGCAGAAATCAACGAACCGCCCAAAAAAAAAACAGCCCCTCTGGGACATCTTCAAGCTCAGCCTTAAATTACACTCGCTGCATATGTAACACTGGGTATTTGTCTTTCTTCCTTAAAATCCCTCTCTCTTCGTCATCGTCATCAGATATTCCTCAGTTTTCATTTATCTCAAGCCCATCTCAGGTCGCGCCGGAACGAATCCCAATGGAATGCAACGTCAATTGTGGTCTAGGACGGATAAAAAGTGCCGCGCTTCAACAACCTCGTAATCACAAAAATAAAAGTTTTCTCTTCGTTTCAGATCAAAATAAGACACTTGATTTTTTTCCCTTTCAGTAGACGTCATTGCAGGGGTAGATTGTTTCGCAGTCCTCCGCTAGGCGTCCGTTTCGCCCTGCGTCCGTGAGCTGCGTGAAAGCCTCCACGTTGGACATGGGCACGATTCCAAAGGTTAGCATGTAACTGAGGAGAAAATTGATGAATTAATTTCAACCACATATTTTAACCATTGTCTGTGTCTATTGAAGTATACTCAGATTACAAATAAACGAAGATGTAAAGTGATATACTCACGTCCCGACTTTACACCACATAGAGCCGACACCTGGTGCATCCATGGTGCAAGCTCTGTTCGCAAGGCAAAACGCCTTCTGCCGACAGGTGTCGTCCTCAATCGAGTATGACTGCGCATAGCCCTATGGAAGATGTAACAAAGAGCTTTTCAACCAGCAGATATTGTGGGACATAGTAAGCTTACATTTCCTTTGTATTAATTGAAGATGGGAAACGCAATCAGCCAAGTAAAACCGAAAAACACTGACAATAGTCTATACTTGTCGCAAGAAAATTCTTGTATCTTTCCACACCGCGTTATTATTACTACAGTAAAAGCAATACAGTAATAAAATTCTTGCAAATTAAACTAAATTCCAAAATTAATTTTAACATTGCAAATTCAAAATTTCATAGGATTCACACTTTTTTAAATACACAGGATACAAACAAAGCACAACAAACCTTGATCAAGGAAAGAGCAGCAACAGCTCCTTCAGAATACTTGTCAGAAGATCCCAGTGACCTGGCCTCCAAAGACCTCTTGCTGAAAGATGTCTTCAAGGCATCCAGAAGTGTCATCCCCAAGTTGATTAGCTGAAAATACAGTATTTAGAAACAAAGTTTTATATTATTTACAATTCAAACATGCTGCCCAGTTCTTTTTTCTACACAATGCTATTTTTTTTACATGAATGATGCGGGGACACTTGTAAAATTATATTAAGTACGGTACCCACTTTTCCCAATAGAAGGTGTTCACAATAAAGAATCAACTAAAGTTTTTATAAAAAGTATAAAAAATTGACAAAAAATTAATTTTTACATTTCAAATTTCTTATCACCGCCCATAATACTTTTGAGAGAAAAAACCAAGGAAATTAATCCTCTATTTCGTCTATTAAGTTCATAAAATTTATTAAATACTGTATTCTATTATGATATCAAAAAAAGGAATTTCCTGATCCAATAACATTTTGCATTTACAGGTCAAAAACCTAAAGATGACGTTTCAGGAAGCTGAGGAAAATATTCAACTTGAGAAAGTAAATCAAGTCAGGGTATATGTTATGTTATGTTCGATGTCACTTTCAAGTAAATTTTGCTGTCATTGTTTCATAGAATTTTGTTTACATCACTCTGGGTAATAAAATGGCTAACTCTCAACAAAAATCTTATCTGTGCAACAATTTTCTCTACTGTACAGGTGGATTCCTTTCACAACAAAATACCAAAAACCAGTAAAAAAAAAAATGCTGTAGAAAAAATTTAGTTGTGAAGAACTCCTATACAACATGGAGAGAAACCCATGGGATAAAAATCCTGTGCAGAAAATATTGTTAAAGACAAGATTTTTGAAGAAATAAGAGTCCACATATATAAGGGATTGTTTTGGAACATATTAGGGTCCTTTCCCCATGTTATATATATATATATATATGTATAGACCAGCTACAATGAATTCTCTCTACAACGCTTTTTTCTGGTCCCCTCAATTTTGTTGCAGAGAGTCCTCATTTGTATTTATTATTGCGTGTATTCATGAGCATGATACATGTTTTTACTGGTTGAAATGAACTTTCCTTAATTGAGGGGAATGAAATATGCGTAGCACAAAAACTTTGTCTGAAGTTCCAAAAAGTTTGTTGTTACGCGATTTTACCGCATGTGCACTTTTGAACCTTGAGAAATCGAACCTCTCTCAACAGCTAAATATAGTACCTCGAGAGGCGAATTTTTTAAAGTCCCCGTCTGAATTTCATTTAAAAAAATGCATTGAGAACCTCTCCAACTTGAAGGATCCCCTCCTCAAACCTCAATAACTCGAATTTTCCGAGGCACATTATTTGACACAGCCAGGAAAGATGAGAAAAGCAATAAGAAAGTAACATGATGTGCTTAGAAAATATGTAAGTGAAAAACTACTTGGGCAAATGAATCTCTTCTTCCAAGTTCAGCATCCTGTCAACTCATCATTTAAAAAGCCATTTTGCGGGCCCAGAATATCTCCATTTATATAATCAACTTGAGTTGCAATTCTTCTTTGTTCCCCACAGCAAAAATGCTTGTTTTCCACAAACTCGAAACGTCCCTACCTCGAAACCTGCCAAACTCAAAATTTGTTTCTGGTCCCTTGAAATTCGACTTACATGGGTTCGATTGTATTCTTTTTATTAATTTGAGGAATAAATTGTGAAATATACTCACCTCACCAGCCTGTTTGGCCATGACAGTCACTTCCTTGGGGTCAGATGAGCTCATCAGAATCGACAACGCCGCGGTCAGCATGCTCTGCTTCGCAAAAAAGGGAATAATAACGCAAGATAATAAAGGACCTGAACCACATAAAATACCGATAAAGAAGTAGTAAAAAATAATAATATTCAAACACATAACGGTGAGCAGATATGAGGGAAACCGGATCCCCGGAATCCAGGTCGCCGCGGGGGCACTCAAAAAATAAAAATAAAAAGCGCGAATAATATGCGGAATTATTCTCCGCATGATCCGGGTCTTTGTGGTCCAGCAGATTCTTAAACTTGAACAATGTGGTAAAATTGACCTCTTTTGAGCAGCAACTTTTAACATTGAGTTTGTAATACAGTATATGCAAGTTGAACCTCTCCAAGTCGAATTTCTAGGGACCAGGAAAAAAACTTCAACTTAGGGAGGTTTTGATTTTTTGGGGGTTTTGAGTAAAGGAAAGAAACATTTTTGCTGCAAGGAAAAGTAAAAAATTGTGGATGAGGATATTCTGAGCCTAAACTTGCTTTGTGATGAGTTTACAGCTTGCTTAACTTGGATTATTCATTTTTTAAATTAGTCTTTTGGTTCAATTGAAGAGGCATAAAATCATTTGTTTTATTGATTTTCATTCCTGAATGGGACAAAATTCCAGTCCGCAGTCTTATATTCAAACAGCACCCGAAGTTGCAGCCCAATAATCCAACAAAACTATTTCCTAGAATTATTAATTATTCCCAATAACAATAAAGGATACACAGTATTTCAGAAAAATTCGGATTGAATTTAATAAGCCCAAAGCGCTTTGCTTTGGGCTTATTCTGCGTAACTTGACTAATAGTGCAATTAAATCTTGGTTTTAATATACTCTACTGTGCTGTCATTCATTACCTTGCATATTAGTACATTTATTCCGGCTCACTCTCTAAAACCATGATATACACCATGCCGCTCTAGTGAACATATTTCCATTAAAACTATTGACCATTATTGTAAGCACTGTGTTGTAAATTCATGTCATTTAATATATATATATAAATAGAGTATATATTTGTATTTTACAATTTACTCTTATTTAGATAACTGTAAACAGTTTAATGCTCCAACTTCAGAGTTTAAAATGCATGAACCTTCTTATTGTTATGCGCATTTTATATATAAAGCTTGATTCCCAGATTAAATGTTTAAGCATAATCCCGCGTATTTATAATAGAAGCATAGTATAGATTCCTTCTGGGGACCACTACTTGTTGATGAACTCAACTATTCATCAATAACCCCATATTCTCAATCTATAAAATCATGCACTCAAATTTGTAGAGAAGTTATGTTTATTATGCTAGGGATCATCACATGGAAAGAGCATGAGCAGTATAGAAGTGTAACTCGCTGCTTTTCAAAAAGAAGTGAGCGACTAAAGTGGGTCATCCTTGTTATGACAAAACTATTATGCTTCTGATGGAAACATGCTGTCAATTGAAACATGATTACCCTTGAGTTACAATTGACAATTATACACTGCATCCAGCACATATTCCAGTCACTCACAAAAATATTGTACCATAATAAATACAGTGCATTTAAAAGTGATGTAGATTTTTAAAGTTTTCAGCATAAAATTGTGCATTTCAACTTAATTTGTATGAAATTGTAGTAATCCCAACAATAGTTTGTGCTGTTTACTTCCTTATACCCTAAAATTTCAAAGGCAAGAACAGGCAAAACTAGAGGGTTCTTTTTTCATTTTCCTGAAATGTTCAAAACAATTCAAAAGTTTATTCCCAAATGGCTAAAATTTAGGCATCTATTGGCCAAACAGCTTTTGTTCTGCGGAAAAAATTTAGAAATATCCATATTTTGTACATCAGTACATGTCTTTTGTATGTATAAAGCAAGGACCCAATAATGCACTTGTTCAAATGTACACCCCTGCTTCCATACAAGTTTGGGATTTAATTCTGTCAACTGATTTATATACCCAGCACCAACAGTCTTAGGCGCTGATGAAGATCACCCATTTTACCTCCCAGATGCAACAGTCCTTTTCCTGATAATAATGCTAGTCCCCCCCCCCCCCCCAAATACATTTATATTTGCAAAAAATATAAATGTTGACTGTTCTTCCTCTGAATTTGACCGAAAAACGGTCTGATTCCATGTAGTAGAAGTCCTCGTTAAAGGGTGAATTATACAGTGACCACACTCACTTCCATTGGCGACGCTGGTCCCCCGTGGTCAGCGCGATCCAGGCCAGTGGTGTCAGCTCCCAGGCCAGCCAATGCGATTTTCACAGCCAGGCTCAACAACCTTGTCCAGGAAAACTCTCCGTCCTAAAAATCACAATAAAGGGGGCGAATTAATAAGAAGGAAACCGTGAGACACATACTGTATACAGTATATTGTATAAAAATAAGGTATGCATTGTAATCATGACCTGACCCATCAGCACGAAACACGGCAATTGTGCTGTGAAATGGAGCAGCGAGAAACGGGTCAAAATAAAATACTTTAACGGACTATAAGTGAACTAAACATGTACGGTGTTCACATTGTCTTGTCTGCGCAACACATTACTGTATCTAACAACAGGACGAATGTACACAGAAAGCCCTGACTTGCGCACCAACATACAGAGGTCACTCCAGTTACATTTGGTTCCCAACACAGTATTTTGAGCCTCTCATTTATGCATTTTGTTATGCAAAATAATTTTGGGCTACATACAGTATACAGCTCTACCATAGAAATAAATGAAACATACTCCTCATAATATTTTGGGTCATTCCTGCAGGTTTGTGAGTATTCATATAATTGTTGGCCAAAATGCACTCATTTAAATTAAAAATTGACCTGAATGACCAAATAGCCATATTCCAATTTTATTTGTTAAAAGATGATTTAGTAATCAAAATGAAGGGATTTCAGGTGTTCAAAATAGAAAGAAGGAAACCAGGAATATCTGGAGTGGACCACTTGTGCGATTGGACATGACAAAGATATAACTGTTCTTCTATATACAGCATGAGGGCAAAAACGCGAAGGACTTTGTCCTTGAACTTCACGAAATGACATCTAGCACGGTTTTTCCATTGTCGTGATTTCAGCCTGTGGCAAATTGAATAAATTCGCGGTATGATTGGCAAGCGTTTCGTGAAAACCCTCAAATCTGCTGAGTGCCGAAAAGGTACAGTATCAAGTAAAGTAAAGTACACGTAATATACGCACCAGTTTTTAAATCGAGTTATATACTGTACATGCAGCTTCTCGAAAGTTGGAAAACCAGCGAAATGCTTTTTTCTCACCGTCAATTTATCTTCGTCAGAATTTAGTAACAAGATTTTTTAAATGCATGCATAATACATATACGCAATTAATATAATTATTCAGCCAAGCATAACCGCCTAACTCACGCATCCAGGATAAGCATTTTATTAAAAGTTTACGACAAATCCAGTTTTAAAAATGCTTGAAGTATATGGTTTTGATTCGAAATACACTTTACATATTACTGGAAGGCGACATTTACACAAAATATCTTCTGAGGATTGACGGAATCAAGTGGTATAGTAATTTTGGAGGGCTATGCTTCAGGTTTATGTTGGGAAAACCCCTAAAATCTACACCTCAATTATAAAAACTTTGGAAATCATGAGGAAATTACCTTTGATCAAAATATTTCTTCTGAGGGAAAAATCGTTCAATGATATTATCAGGGTATGTTTTTTATACGCTAGAGTAGAAGGCAATTAAAAATGTACTCTGAAAACAAATAAACTAGACCTTCACTAAGATTCACTGTATACATATTACGGTAAGTAGAAAATAACCAAATAACCTTTGTCAGAATTTTTGGCAAAGGTTACATAAACTGGACCTTCATTTCAAAGTCACTGGGAATTATGTAAATAATCTTTTTGAAAAAAAGGTGGACTAATATAATTCAATTGGTCTAAAATAATAATTATTGGTCTAATATAATTCAAGGCTAAGTTTTTTATGCAGTGGTATAGAAGTCGATGAAGGAAGCATGTTTGGAAAGGCTGAAAATTGATTGATCAATCAAAATACACCATAATTTTTTCCGAGGATGAATGACTACTGTATACTTCCTGCTTTTTTTCTGAAAGTGGAAGAGGTCTGACATAATTGTGAGCTATACTTTCTTTTGTAAAATGGAATAGAAGTCAACATGGAAGATGCACTTAAAATAGTAAGGGAAAAAATATATTAAATTGTTAAAAATTAAATATTATTTCCAAATACACTGCAAATTTATAAATAATAAACAACTACTGTATATTTCCTGCGATATTTTTTCCAGGGGAGGAAGTGGTCTGATGAATTTATTAACTGAAGTTCTTGGATGACAATATTTATTCCAGAGTCCCTATACAGTATATAAATTACCAAAACTGTATGTACAGTATAAGGAATAACCTTTGCCAAAATATTTTCCCCTGATGAGGCTGTGAAACTGTTGTGCTGTACAGTACAGTATAATACTGTAAAAGTGGGAGGATTACTATGTATTATTTTTCAGCTACAGGTTTAATCCTCCTTCAATTTATAATACAGTATATATATATATATATATATATATATATATATATATATATATATATATATATATATATATATATATATATATATATATATATATATATATATATATATATATATATATATATATATATATATATATATATATATATATATATATATATATATATATATATATATATATATATATATATATATATATATATATATATATATATATATATATATATATATATATATATATATATATATATATATATATATATATATATATATATATATATATATATATATATATATATATATATATATATATATATATATATATATATATATATATATATATATATATATATATATATATATATATATATATATATATATATATATATATATATATATATATATATATATATATATATATATATATATATATATATACTGTATATATATATTTACATGTTATATTTTCCATTCTAATTTTCTTTGCATGGGTATATAAATCCATAAAAATGATACAGTAGGATAGCACATGCGCTATATCTAGTAATCATCAACAAATCAGTCTCATAGTACAGTATATTGTATGGTTCAGTATATTGTATGGTACAGTATAATGTATGGTACAGTATAATGTATGGTACAGTATATTGTATGGTATAGTATATTGTATGGTACAGTATATTTTATGGTACAGTATGTATATATACCTGGAGAATCGGTCCGTCACCAGACTTGTCCAGCCCGGACGACGACGGCGGGTTGAGCAGCTTGTACACAAACTGGAGCGCCATGGTGATGATGTTCTTCCAGGAGAACGGACTGTCTTCCTTCTTCTGCGGCGACGAGTTGTGGTGTCCATGATGGCTGCCGTGTTTGGAGCCGGACATCTTGCCCGGACTGAAGGCGTTGTTGCTGCTGCTGCTGCTGGCGTCCTGGTCCACGTCGTAGTTGAGTTGCTTGCCGCCGTTGTTGTCGTCCATGTCGGCAGACGGCTTCACGACTTTCATGGCGCCCAGGACAGGTGGCAGGGCCAGGTTGCCCACCACGGCCACCAGGAACACGCAGGACCAGGCTGAAGCCCTCATGGCGATGATGATGATTGGCTCCTCGACCCTTTTAACTCTCTATCGTTGTCAAAATTACGGCACACACGCGAGGAAAAGGGGAACACGAATGATCGAGCTGCACGCACTAATACTACACGGAGGACGAGATGAGTAATTCTGGGACGATGAGGGAATGGCCTGTGAACACCAAATCAAGAAAGAGTCAACTTCAAAACGTAATCCCCAATCAACACACACTCAGCACAGCAGTGGGAGGATACGAGGGTTCTAACAAAAGTTCTCGGAATAGAAATGAAAACGGCGTATAATAATCGAGCTGGAAAAAATTATTCTTTAGGGAAAACATATTCTTTGGCACACATACAAAAAATCAGCCCTGTTTGACAATTGTTTTTGAATGTTTTGCAAAATTCCAACCAGCAATGCTTTTTTTTATAGATGCATGCGGTCGTTTTTGACCTGGCAAATTTTTGTGTTCCACTCTACATATGGTTTTTTTCTCATCAATTGTCCTTGAGATTTCCACCTGATTCCTAAATTTAAAATATTAAATACAAGTACCGGTAAATGTAGTTCTTTCTACAAGGGTTCTAACAAAAGTTCTTGGAGTAGCAATGAAAATGACTTACAGTTGAGCTGAAAAAATTTTTTCTTCAGGGAAAACATATTCTTTGGCAAACAAAAAAAATATCAGCCCTGTTTGACACATTTTTTGGAATTTTTTTCATAATTCCCCCTGGCAGAGTTTTGCTCTCCACTCAAAAGATGAGGCGCCCTTTTTTTGTTATAGCCCAGCTTTCCCCTCAGAAAGAATGCCAAGTTGATTTCAAAAATTCTGAGGGGAAAGCTGGGCTATATAACAAAAAAAGGGCGCCTCATCTTTTGAGTGGACAGCAAAACTCTGCCAGGGTGAATTATGAAAAAAATTCAAAAAGAAATTGTCAAACAGGGCTGATATTTTTTGGTGTGCCAAAGAGTATGTTTTCCCTGAAAGAAAGTTTTTTTTTAGCTCAACTGTAAGCCATTTTCATTGCTACTCCGAGAACTTTTGTTAGAACCCTCGTATGTGCAAAAGAAGGACGCGGACGACAAGAGGAAAAAAGTCCAATGCCAACATCAGCTCACGTATCGAACACAACGTACACTTTTTTATCACTCTGTAACAATGCAAAAATTGTTTCCGCCACAACTCCGCTTTCTCGCCATGGCACCGCGCGGAAAGAAAAGATCACTTCAAACAATCGGGGGCATCAAAAAGTATCCCGGATGTCTTGAATCCAGGTCATATCACTCATACAAAATTGGAAAGAATAGAAACTCGAAGAAAAAGGAGCGAAAACTTCAAGAAAAAGGAGAGGAAAGCACCGTGGAAGTTGAACTAGTATATAGTCAAACCAGCACCAGCAACGAGAGAAAGTCGACTTATTAGAAAGAGGGCAAAACTCATGTCATTGAATCATTTCGGGAATTTCCTCCAATAAGTGAACATCATATATAAAAGTGTTCATCTTGCGACTGAAGGAAGATTACTGATTTGAACCATTTTTTTCGAGCATATTCTATTCTAAATAATAGACCAATCCTTTTCTGATTTTTTTAGTAACATTTTGATCGTATCATCCTGAAACTTCAACACTGGTGAGTGACCCAACCAATAATGATGAGTGATCTACTAAATCAATCTCCAGGAAATTCTTTAATGAAGATTTTAAAAATCCTGTCCATGTACCATATCTCACAGAAAAAGTATATCTGAATAATCACTGCAGTTCCAATTATTCATCACCATGAAAGAACTATCCATTCAGGAATGAATAAAAAGGGGAAAACCATCAGCAACTCACTTGACGATTGATGCTCACTAAATCTATCCGTCGGACAATTTGTTCATCCAGATAGACAACCCCTGCAAAAAGAGTCAAACAGCAAAATAAAATAAATTTTAAATAAAAGCCCAAAGCCAACACAGTCAGTCAGAGAATATAAGCGACACCATTCAATTGCTGGTAAGCATCAGTGCTTCATCAGCAGTAAAAATGAATCAGCGAAGTTATCACAGGAGGAAATGTCGGAGAAAAGAGAGCCAGCATAAGAGCTGGGAAGAAAAACCGCAGAGCTGAATAACTGACTTGCTTGACATGCATCACAGGGCATGAAGAAAAAATCTCACATGCACAAACGGAATCTCTTTCCCGTCTCACACATCCTCAGCAGAGAAGCACAAATACGGCGCCTCTCGCTAAATCGCTTCTGTTATCGGCGCATCTGAAGTTCCTTCTTGACGACCCTCGTTTCCGGCATCAGTGGTGGTCTCCGTGTTTCCCGCAAATATCGTAGATGACGCTAGATCCTCATCATCCTCGGGTTCATCATCCTTAGTCTCCTTCGGTGGACTGATGATGCTGTCATTGTTGTTGGTGGGTTTCGGGACTGATGCTGCGTCTTCCGACGCCAGGGCACCGAACAAGTCCTTGTGGATGTAATCCGTGGCCGTGGAAATCCCGTCCCAGGTTTCGCGGGCAGTTGGCAGGATCAGTTTGGCGGGCAAGAGGAACCCGAACCTGTCCGCGAGTTTGGGACGCAGTTCCAGAATGTAACTGTGTTTCACTCCGAGTCCGTACACGTAGTCAAGGGACGATCCACTGACCAGGTACAGGAGTTGGCCCGCACTTCCGATTTCGTACTTTTCCGCGTACCTGCGCACAATTTATTTGTAGATTTCATTTTACTTTTATGCTAGAGAAAAATCTAAGGAAATTCAGTGAGGACCCCACATGCGGACAATTCGACATAGGGACACTTATTTTCCCAGAAAAAATTAATAAATAAGGCCCGACATGAGGACACTGACTCGACATAGGGGCATTTTGTGATAAAATTGCAAATACATTTCAGGCCAAATTACAAGAAACAGATATTTCCAACCCTAAAATGTAAGAAAAGTTCTTGGGCATTTCTCTCACCAAATTACCATCCATTTAGCTAATTAAAAAAATTACCTCCAACTTACANCTCACCAAATTACCATCCATTTAGCTAATTAAAAAAATTACCTCCAACTTACAGGGACTTCAACTTTTTTTTTCACTTGAATGTTATTTTTGTAGATGTCAAAATTTCAGTGTACAGTACAGAGATACACTAGTCGATGCTCCAAATGTTCTTATTGAGTTGAAAATGTATTCACTAGTACAAATTCAAGTGGCAAACAATTTTTTTCAGGGAATTCTGTAGAATATTTCTTCCACAAAAGACCAATTAAAAATTATATAATGTAAGTCTATGGAAAAACAAGACTCGATTTAGGGACATTTCGACTTGGGGACACTCTTGATGCACCAATTACGTATTGCTAGGTATGTGCCATTCCGTTATGACGATTTTTTCGATACGGATTTCTGCCATTCATGGTCATTCCAGCGAGGAGAAATTCCATAAATACCTTGTACTGTGGTAGTGAAAATATCCATAACACGCAATGAACAATTTTCAAGATTCAGTAAAATTAATTAATGAACATACACACGGCGATTTTCCGTTTTCATTATACTGTAATTGTTGGACTTCTTGAACTGAGGCCCATATTTATGTTCAGACGACACCCGCATGTCATTCCGGACGGAAAGCCGAAAGAGACACTATAATAAACACTGACAATTGCCAAAAAAAAGGTTATAAAATTCAGAGAACTAAGAGAACACTTTTTACTTGCAAAAAGTCCCGGGATGCCACGTACAGCATGTGTCAAAATTCAACAAGGGCTGTGTTGGAAAATGAAAACTCCCAGTAAGTAAATTATTCTTGAATCTACACACGATTTTTTCTTAAAGCCCTTCTTGTTCACTGGCTTGTTATCATATTCACGACGAAAAGAAGATATAAAGGCTTTTTGCGGAGGTAAGTTTGACATTTTGCCCTTTCCATGTTTAAAAAAATTGCAACAGTAGCACGACATAAGAAGCGCACTTCGCATTTTCTTGAAGTTGTTTGAAGTAAAACAAGAGGGCAGCACAATTAAGTGGTTCA